ACTTCTGCATGGCATATATGAGTTTAGGTTTGGGCTAACATGCATCGAATCGCTTTGCTCTAACCATGTTCCGAGAATAAGGGAAAGCTGCCTGCGTTTTAACAGTTGTAAAGTGGAATTGAGCAATTATGCCAACTAGTGGAATAAGGAATTTCAAGTTGGAATTTGAGCATGTCTTAGTTACCAAGTAACCATTCTTAATCCTTAAACAGATGGGGAAGGGCTCCTTCAAGTATGCCTGGGTGTTGGATAAACTGAAAGCCGAACGGGAGCGAGGTATCACCATTGATATCTCCCTGTGGAAATTCGAGACCAGCAAGTATTATGTGACCATCATTGATGCCCCAGGACACAGAGACTTCATCAAAAACATGATTACGGGCACATCTCAGGTTTGTAGAATTAGTAATTCTTTAGGAAATAAACTCTGGGTCTGTTACACTGGGCTCATCTTTTTTTTTTTTTTTAAAGACCTTACATTTAGTATTAGTATATGGTCTTGTTTTCTTTCAAAGGCTGATTGTGCTGTCCTGATTGTTGCTGCTGGTGTCGGTGAATTTGAAGCAGGCATCTCCAAGAATGGACAGACCCGTGAGCATGCCCTTCTGGCCTACACTCTGGGTGTGAAACAGCTGATTGTTGGTGTTAACAAAATGGATTCCACTGAGCCACCCTACAGCCAGAAAAGATACGAGGAAATTGTTAAAGAAGTCAGCACCTACATTAAGAAAATTGGCTACAACCCTGACACAGTAGCATTTGTGCCAATTTCTGGTTGGAATGGTGACAACATGCTGGAGCCAAGTGCTAATGTGAGTTTTAAGACAGTTGGAAAAGGCATTTCAAAGAAGCTGGCCAGGTATGGAGACAGGTAATAGTAATTGATAATCTTGTGTTCTTCAGATGCCTTGGTTCAAGGGATGGAAGGTCACCCGTAAAGATGGCAATGCCAGTGGAACCACACTGCTTGAAGCTCTGGATTGCATCCTGCCACCAACTCGCCCAACTGACAAGCCCCTTCGCCTGCCCCTTCAGGATGTCTACAGAATTGTTGGTAAGTTGAACATTAATATCAGAATGTGACATATGCGGGAGGCAATAATTTCTTCACAAGTATTTACAACTATGCCTAAACATTTCAGGTATTGGTACTGTCCCTGTGGGCAGAGTGGAGACTGGTGTTCTCAAGCCCGGCATGGTGGTCACCTTTGCTCCAGTCAATGTTACAACTGAAGTAAAGTCTGTTGAAATGCACCATGAGGCTTTGAGTGAAGCTCTTCCTGGGGACAATATGGGCTTCAACGTCAAGAACGTGTCTGTCAAAGATGTTCGCTGTGGCAATGTGGCTGGTGACAGCAAAAATGATCCACCAATGGAAGCAGCTGGCTTCACAGCTCAGGTAAGGCTAAATGTCATGTTTTTCCTCCCAAAGCCTTAAATGTCTTGAGATTCAGGAAATAAATTCAAATCCTTTTTCCAAGGTGATTATTCTGAACCACCCAGGCCAGATCAGTGCTGGATATGCACCTGTGCTGGATTGTCACACAGCTCACATTGCTTGCAAATTTGCTGAGCTGAAGGAGAAGATTGACCGTCGTTCTGGGAAAAAGCTGGAAGATGGCCCCAAGTTCTTGAAATCTGGTGATGCTGCCATCGTTGATATGATTCCTGGCAAGCCCATGTGTGTTGAGAGCTTCTCTGACTACCCTCCTCTGGGTAAGATTGAGCATTTTACAGCAATTACACATTTTACTTGATATGATAAAAATTATTTGTTTTGTGTACTGTGTAATGATACTATGAAATTTGTTTTAATAGGCCGTTTTGCTGTTCGTGACATGAGATAGACAGTTGCTGTGGGTGTCATCAAAGAAGGGGACAAAAGGCAGCTGGAGCTGGCAAGGTCACCAAGTCTGCCCAGAAAGCTCAGAAGGCTAAGTGAATATTACTCCCAACAACTGCCACCCCAGTCAGTGAGTCTTAATCAGTGGTGGAAGAAAGATCTCAACTGTTTGTCTCAATTGGCCATTTAAGTTTAATAGTAAAAGACTGGTTAATGATTACAATGCATCATAAAACCTTCAGAAGGGAAGGAGAATGTTTTGTGGACCATTTGGTTCTTTGTGTGTGTGGCAGTTTTTAAGTTATTAGTTTTTAAAATCAGTACTTTTTAATGGAAACAACATGACCAAAAATCTGTCACAGAATTTTGAGACCCATTAAAATAACAGTTTAATGAGAAACCTGTGTGTTCTTTTTGGTCAACACTGTAATTTTCTGTTATACTTTTTAGGTAAAAGGCTTCAGAATTGCCCATGATCTATTTCCAGTGTTATATATCTTCTGATAAAACTTAATTGGGTAGTTCTGTTAATATTTTTCTTTCCTGGGTGGGAGGGAACTTTAGGGTTTTTTTGTGGGGATTTCCCCCTCCCCCCCACTGAATCACCCATCTCTTCATGATAAAAGCTATGGGAAATGGGGGGGTCTGTTGGTGTAACACTAAATAGGTTAGGACAGGTAAGCAAAGAGTAACTTTGTGTTTGTAAGCTAGTTTCTGAAGGCCAAATTCTGTAAAGGCCATGTGTTAACATGAAATTTTTTAGTTACATCAATATTGAGTAAATTTGTTGGTATGTTAAATTAGTTTTCCAGTTTTACTGGAATGTGAATTCACATTTACGAATGTTGAGGTAGTCTTAAAAACCTTAAGCGAGGTTTGAATAGTATTGAGCACTGTCTTGCTGCAGTTATTGTATCCAAATTCTAGGAAAAATAAATTGATGCTGGAAGTTGAGTGTGTTTTGTCACTTAAATGCTGTTTAAAGTCTACTTCCAATAGGAATTTTCTCAAGTTAGAGAAACAGTTTGAGGTATGGTGGCAGAGTGCTCTAATTTGAAACCAGAAAATTTTGCCCAGTGCCACTTTAAAAGATAACCTTACTGGAATAGTTTCTAAAATGACAGTTGGATAGAATGTAAGCACTTTTCAACTAGCTGGGGTAATATGCTTGCAGTGATTGCTTATAGTTAATAAGTTGATATATGCTTGAGTGGCAGCCATCTAGTTTTTTAAAAACTAATTTCAGAGAAAGGGGGGGAGAAACCTCAATGATGACAATCACTGATTTGTTGTCCTGTGTGGTACCTCATTGGGGATTGAACCCACAACTCGGGTATGTTACCTGTCTGGGAATCAAACCCATGACCTGGTTCACAGGTCAGTGCTCAACCACTGAACCACACTGGTCGGGTTTCTGATCAAAACACGTAGAAAAGTAATTCCATGAATCTAGAAACTTTAATTCTTTGTAATAGTATCCAGCTCAAAATGGCAAAATTAGACTTGTATGTTCTTAATTGTATCCTGTTAGGAATTTGTGAAGTTTTTAACCTTTGTTAAAATTTTATATTTCCTCCCCTTCCCCCATTGACCTCCCACTCAAGCCTTGCCCTAGCTGGTTTGTCTTCTGTCTACAGACAGAAAGGTCCCAGGTTTTGCCAGGTTGCTCACTTAATCCCCAGTAGGGAGGGGGCTGGGAGGAGGCAATGATTATCATTGATATTTCTCCCTCTCTGAAATAACATTTCTAAAAGTAGGTAGGCCTTGATAGTATTTGCTGAGACATTTGAAGCATGTGAAAAGGCTAAGATTCCTAGTTCTTGAGGGAAGTAGCCCTGTTATTTGTAACTTGTTTGTACAGGTGAGGAAAATTGTCCAGTTTAAGTGGTAGCCTATACAAGCAAATTTGACACAGCTGCAGGATCTAAAATAAGATTGTTCCAGCCTTCCTCGGCAATGTTTTAACTGCAGAGACTTTGAAAGGGTAGGAAGGAGGGTGACCAGAGTTGAGGAAAAGTTTAGTTGCTAGCTTCCTTTCCACAGAATCTATTGTGTAGGACCCACTGTAGGCTTGCCAAGACTATTGCCTGGTTTTGAGCACCACCTGCTGGCTGCTGGTCACTACAAACTAGTTTTACATTCATGAACAAAGTTATTTTTGCTCTGAGGTTCTACACTTACGGCATTTCCTTGTGTTTTCATCAATGTAAAGACCTCAAAATGTTGTTGAAATTTGATTCCGGGAATTCTGGTGTTTTTCAGGTGTTAAACATGCTGTCTTTAAAACTTAACATTTCTAAAATATTTTTATTGATTTCAGAGAGGAAGGAAATGGGAGAAACATCAATGATGAGAGAACCATTGGTTGCCTTCTGCATGGATCGAGCCCGAAACCCTCCCCCCCCAAGCCAAACATGCTAGAGCTTTTTTAACATCTTATGCCCAGTTATGTGAAATAACTGGGTTTTGATCGCTGTAAAATAATTTATGCCATAATCTTCCATAATTTACCTCCCAAATCTCGGGTGCATTAAGAACTCTATCATCTGGATCAAGGACCTAGCCTGGTAGTGACAATTTATTTTGACCTAACCTTCAACCCAGTCTCTATTTTTTTAGTCTGATTTCTTAAGAATGCATATGGTCTTTTTCAACATTACCCTGGGGTTTTATTTTATTTTTTAAATATATTTTATTGATTTTTTACAGAGAAAGGGAGAGAGATAGAGAGCTAGAAATGATGAGAGAGAAACATCGACCAGCTGCCTCTGCACACCCCTCACCGGGGATGTGCCCGCAACCAATATACCGTACATGCCCTTGACCGGAATCGAACCTGGGACCTTTCAGTCCGCAGACCAACGCTCTACCACTGAGCCAAACTGATTTCGGCTACCTTGGGGTTTTAGTGACAGCGTTTAGATCTTCCTGTGGTGGTTCTAGAAGACTTAGTTCAATGAGAGATTTTGATTTGTAAATATTCCTGGCTCTGATCAGATTATTTGCAGCTAGCAAAGTTACCCCATGACACTAATAGACAACTAAAATCACCTTAGTTTTTTAAATACTTGATATTTAAAAAAATTTTTAGTCCTCACCCATGGATATTTTTTCCATTGATTTTTTGAGGGAGTGAGGGGGGGTGAGGGAGAATATTGATTGGCTGTGCCCTGCACACCCCCCTACTGAGAATTGAGTCTGCAACCCTGGCATGTGCCCTTGACTGGAATTGAATCTGAGACCCTTCAATCCACAGGCCTATGTTCTTTCTATCCACTGACAAACTGACTAGGGCCAGAAGCAGTTTTCAACACAGCTGCTCATTTGAGTTTTGTTCTGCCCAGTAGACTATGCAGACCAGTGAAGAAATCTTGGTTTTCAGTAATTTTCAGTATGGGATGTAAAATTCCTGAAGCATATGGCTAGGACTATCGCTTTAATTTTTATTGAAGTTTATCTTGGTATAATTTCCTGTAAGTTGAGCACTGAGCTAATGCCAAAAGGATTTTTTTCTCTTGGCTGTAGTATTCACAATTCCTGAAATGGCAACTTGAGAAAAAAGGTGTCGATTTCATGTGTGTTAACATGTTTTAGGTTGATAGTCAAATGCTAGTTCATTTGTCATGAAGTGCTGCAGAAATAAATCCAGTCCAGAAAGTTGCATTCTGGAATGAGTTTTAGATTCTGGTGATTGAGAGAGCCATTTCAGATGAGAGAAGAGGGGAAATAATAATTTTTTTTTTTCTGTTTACTTTCCTAAAGTTTTCTCTGATCTGTGTTTGCTTTTCATAACTGCTCCCTCCCCCCCCAAGCCCTTAGTTTCTCCCAAATAGCATCAAAGTCACTGACCAACCTTCATTATTTGCAGATTTCTGGGAACTCATGACTGGTTAAAACAAGAAATGAAGCATAACTATTGTAAACTAGAGGTGCCGTGCAGTCTGGGAGCCCTTGGGGGAATGTCAGGCCCCCCCACTCCTGCTCCCGTGGACATCCCTATGGGAGAGCACTGATTGATCTTGTTGAGATAATTTTGAATCTCGAGCCTACTATCTAGAATGTTAAAATGTGGGCTTTGTCATTTACACATCTGATACTTAGAATTCTGTTTCTGTAGTTTTATTTAAATTATTGGTTACTACTAAACAAAATAGGTCCAAAAACAGACAAGCAGGTATTGCACTAGAGAAATGTTCTTTGATTATGGTACAGCCAATTGCAAATTCCCCTAATAAAATTGCATTACCAAAATTATCTAGGTCATATCTATATTATTATTACCAAGACTATAATCTAGGTCATTTCCCACCATTTTATCAAGGTAATCATGAGGAAATTTTTATCAAATGTTTGGTAAAAGCAAGGTGAAACAGGTGATAGCTTTAAAATTTAACTATATATATATATATATATATATATATATATATATATATATATATATATATAAAGTAAGAAAGTCTAAAGTCTTTTAAAATCCCCTCAAGTCAACTTTGAATATATTCATTGAAATTTAAGTTCAAGGTGGGAATAAAATCTCTACTAGGAATTTAAATTTTCTATGTTAAGCAATTATGGTTTCCCTAAAGAGTTCAAGTAGTTTGGGCTTTCTGTCAAACTTTATGCTTAGAATAGATCAAAGCAACAGCACATGCAGTTTGGATAATGCTTTTAACACAATCTCCTTTGAGACATTATCTAAAATGTAGGATATTGATTTGATAAAGCAGAATAGATTTTAAAATAGCCATAGTCCAAAAAGTAGGTAGTTTTGTTTATTCTGGTGAGAGTAACTGGCAGCAAAAGCTGACAGAGACAGGGTGATGTGATCCTGCAAGTGTGGTTTCCAGAAGTCAAAGGACAGATGGTCATTATAGAAAAATCATAAAATATTCCACTTGGTTAAAATTTCAGTAAAATCATGTGATTGAGAGAATATCCTAGTTGGTAAAATGTTTGGTAAAAGCAAGGTGGAGCATGATGGAATAGTTCTCACCCTCTGGTGACGCAGCTGCAACATTTTCTGCGGTCTGGGTTGTAGGCATTAAGTACAAGGACTGCAGCTATGTCATTGCAAAAAAAAAAAAAAAAAAAGAGTGGGGGGGCCTGACAGCCTCACCTTAGCTATTGTCATACTTTGTTGATTGACCCTTTGGACCTCTGTTGCACCTCCTACAGGATTCTGCATAGAGCTGACAACTCAGTTAAATGTCGTATGAGAAATAAGGTGGCTTTTATTACATTATGGTTAGATATAGAAACTTTCTCATAACCAAGTCTTATATGAAAGGGAATACATCTCTTGGAACTCAGTTTCTCATATATAGAACTGTTCATAAGTGTTTTTCTTCAATGTCTACCTGACTGAAGTTTATTAAACTGCCCCACCCTTGAGGTTGTTCTTTGTGAAACTGGAAATATAGAAAATCCAGTAAGTTTCCTTTCATTGTTTGAAATGTGTGTACACACACATACGGAGTCTGGTCTTGTAATACAGTATAGTCTAAAAATGCTTTCTTTAAAATTTAGGCAGTGTATTTTTTTTCTATATCTAATTGTACTGTTTTAAATTTGGATTGTCGCCGGGACCGGTTTGGCTCAGTGGATAGAGCGTCGGCCTGTGGACTGAAAGGTCCCGGGTTCAATTCCAGACAAGGGCTTGTACCTTGGTTGCAGGCACATCCTCAGTAGGGGGTGTGCAAGAGGCAGCTGATTTATGATTCTCTCTCATCGATGTTTCTAACTCTCTATCCCTCTCTCTTCCTCTCTGTGAAAAATCAATAAAAATATTAAAAATAAATAAATTTGGATTGTCCATATCTTAAAAGGCTATAGACCAACTATAAAAGAGAATTCAGAGAACTACCAACATAAATAAATATTAAAAATGAATTACAAGGCACGGGATTTAAAAAAAAGCTTTTTGCCCTAGGAACCTATTAAAATTTTTTTAAATTGATTTTGTTAGAGAGAGAGAGAGAGAGAGAGAGAGAGAGAGAGAGAGAGAGATTTGTTGTTCCACTTATTTGTGCATTCATTGGTTGCTTCTTGTAAGTTTCCTGACTGGGGATCAAACCTGCAACCTTGGCATATCGGGATGACACTCTAACCAACTGAGCTACCTGGCCAGGGTTACAAATATACCATTGTCTTCAGGTATACCAAGAGTATTTTAAGTTGGCAGAAGATGCTGTTCAAAGGGAAATTTATTCTAAGTCCCCATTCAGCCTCTAAGCTCTTGGTGAGCTATAATGGCTTGCTAAGCACAGCAATTCCACAAATACTTAGCATGAACTGAAGGTTAAATAAAGAGAAACAGACTTATAGATCATTTAGAAGGGATGGAGAAACTTATCTGGTGGAGGACCTCTGGTCCTTAGGAAAAACAAAAACAAAAAAACACCACTAAACATTGCAGAAAGATATTCTGAAGACCCATGCTCAACAGCTACTTGCAATTATACTTTAGTCATATTACTTAACAAGCTACAGCATAGGAAGATATAAACAAGACTTGGTTTTTAAAGCTTTAAAACATTACTTTGAGGAATACATTGATGTAAAAGAAACCTAATGTATTAGAATTTTTCCATCAGGATGTAGTGCTATTCAAATAGATTAGTCTTTTTTGAACACTTTTTACTAGGATCCACAGTAAGTAATATATATTTTCTATTACAATACAGTATAAGCACACCCTAGTTTATGGCCTCTAAGACATTTTCAATTGGAAGTCACAAATGCTGCCAATCATAATTGTGAGAATTAGGGAATGATTATAGAGCATATACCAATTTAGAGATGATAAAATACAGGAAAAAATATGCATTTTAAAATTGGTGAAGTATAATTTGTATATAAATCACTGAGACAAATTTCAGAGTATAGTACTTATACTTTAGCCTATACTCGTCCAGGCAGACATTAAAGTGACTTAAAGCTTGCATTAGAAAATAATTTGGTCTTGTCCACAAATCACTGCAGCCCACCTCTCATCGGAACAGAGTGACTTCATTCAACTTAAATTTCTGTAATAGAATGCAAGTTTAGTTTTCTGCACATACAGATTATTTGTATTCTAGGTTCCTGAGCCAGCACACACTGTAAAATTAATTGCAATTTAGTTTCTGCCAAAAGCAGCTGAGACAATGGCTATTTATTGAAGCATGCTAGTGGTTCTCACAGTTGGCTAGGCGTCAGAATAACCTATGGAGCTTGTTAAACACAGATGCCAAGACCTTTCCAGGCCAAATGAATTAGAATTGCTTGTAATAAGACTTGGCCATCTACTTTAATAAGCTTTATGGGAATTCTGATGTCCAATCAGATTTAGGAATCATTGATCACGGGCTTGCCAGTCATACATTCCTTTAGTTTTTGTTTTTACATAATGCTTATTGATTATATGTCATACTAGAAAATTAACCCTTGGAAAGTGTACAATTCAATAGTATTTAGTATCTTCACAGAATTGGACAACCATCACCACAATCTAATTTTAGAACATTTTCATCACCTTAAAAAGAGTTGTCTTTTTTTTTTTTTTAATATATATATTTTATTGATTTTTTACAGACAGGAAGAGAGAGGGATAGAGAGTTAGAAACATCGATGAGCGAGAAACATCGATCAGCTGCCTCCTGCACACCCCCCATTGGGGATGTACCCACAACCACAGTACATGCCCTTGACCAGAATCGAACCCGGGACCCTTCAGTCCACAGGCCAATGCTCTATCCACTGAGCCAAACCGGTTTTGGCAGAGGTGTCCTTTTTAATGGCAAAGAAGCCACCCAGAAGACTCCTTCCACAATTCAGTCAGTTTCACACCTCAGGCCTAGGCCAAATGCTAGGGGGATTGCAATGAACAAGATTGGCTTAAACTTTGAAGATTTACCTCCTGCACTTAAGAAGGGAGTAAACAAAACCACGGTTCTTTTGGCAAGGCAGAGGGCAGTGGACAGACATGGTTACTGGGAACTCAACTGGCAGTGTTTATCACAGGCAAGTTAGCTAATGTCTCCAAGTCTTGTTTCCCTTGTCTCTGGAACAGAACGGCTTTGTTATGGGGTTAAATGCAATAATGCATATCTGGCACACAGCAAGCATTAAGTAGTAGCTACCTTTATATAAAATCACTAATGAAAGCATTATTTTCCATAAATGGCTTTTATGGCTTTTAAATGTTTTTATTGATTTTAAAAAACATATTTTTATTGATTTCAGAGAGGGAGAGATGGAAACATCAGTGATGAGAGAGAATTATTGACTTGCTGCCTCCTGCTCACCCCCTACTGGAGATCAAGCCCCTCAACCCTGACATGTGCCCTTGACCACAATAAAACCTGGGACCCTTCAGTCCGCAGGCCGACGCTCTATCCACTAAGCTAAACTGGTTAGGGCAGGTACATAGTTGTTAATATTTGTGTCATAAATATTTTTATTCTCTTTATTCAGTTAAGTTTTACTTTTGCCATCTCTTACCTTCAGTAATATTCATTCATTCATCCATTCATTCAAAAAATGTCCCTGTCCTAGCTGATTTGGCTCAGTAAATTCTGCGGACTGAAAGGTCCAAGGTTCAATTCCAGTCAAGGGCACGTCTGGGTTGTGGATTCCATCCCCAGTAGGGGGCATCCAGGAAGCAGCGATTAATGATTCTCTCTCATCATTGATGTTTCTATCTCTCCCTCTCTCTTCCTCTCTAAAATCAATTAAAAAAATTATATTTTTTCAAAGCATGTCCCCTGTGTCTATAATATGCATTACCTGCACTCAAGAGGCTTTTATCTTGTTGAGATTAAGGTAAGACAGATCTTAAAAATAAGGCGGAATGAAGTCAGTGCAATACTACAAGTGCTGTGAAGAGGAAGCCTAAAAGGAACAATTATCTTCTCTGTGTGCCTTCCAGCAGAAGCGGCTCTGTCTGCTCTGAATGAGCCTCTAGTCACTTTTGGGGGCTTTCCGTATTTCTGACCACTTCCCTTGGACAGGGCATTTTCTCAAAGTTAGTATTTTTTTGAAGTGGAAAAGCCATGCTATTCCAATCTAGGTTGAAACTCAAAAATGGAAAAAATATTAAAACAATCAGTAATAAAATCCAAACTCTTGGCTATAAGGTAACTATAATTCAAGGCTATGATGGTTTAATTTAGCATAGGTCTCTATCTTTCTCCTCCCTTCTGCCCCCATAATTTTACAAATGTTTCCTGTCTCCTAGCTGTTTCCTCTTTTGATTTTGGTATCTGATGAACTTTAGTACCTATAACTATTATATTAGGCAATGTGGTCTGCAGTGGGTAGAGGAAATCACAAGTGTGACCAACTTCTGACTATTCTCATTTCTGGGAAGTTTCTATTAAATAGCTGGACTGAGTAAGGTTACATTGTTAGCTTATTTCTTCCTAGGGCATCCTAGTCTATAGCACTTCTGGCAAGCAGCACTAGAGAAAGGCTGTTTTGAAAATATTATTTCAGGTCAAGTAATTTTGTACAAGCTAATATATTTTAAATTGCAGATTTGAAGAAGTTTTACGTTCTAAACTAAATGGAAGAATGTATAACAAATATTTTTCATAGAACATTTTCAGTGAGAGTTACTATTGTAACAGAATTGCATTACAAAACTTAAATTTCTTTATATGTGTAGTGTCACTAGCCCAATTAAAGCTGTCAAGAAACTCTCAAAGCATTTAAGAACTTTCTATATCCTCAAAATAAATTTTTATTATATTTCATTTCATTCAATGAGCACTCCATTCACTGCTTTTACTCTTCTATTTAATCAGAAAAAAAATAAGTTTAAAAACAGTGGTTTCCTTTCTAGTGTTAAACAATTACCACAAAGTACCTTGAAAAAATATGTAGTATTGTTGTAAACATTGCCTCTGCAGTAAGAATTATGCCCAGAATAGCCATGATAACTAAAATTAACATTTTTTGAAATTGCTAAATCAAATATCAAGAATAATCAGTCATGCCCTAACCGTTTTGGCTCAGTGGATAGAGTAGGGGTGTCGAACTCAATCAGAGAAGGGGCCAAAATCTAAAATCCAGCCTAAATCGCGGGCCGAATGGTTTACTGAACAGTCATAAACTGTCATTGTGATGGAAACGCAGCGGAGTGCAGTGATGACAGCGCGGTGCGGGCCACATTGCAAGGCCTGGCGGGACGGATTTGGCCCGCGGGCCTTGTGTTTGACACATGTGGGATAGAGCATTGGCCTGTGGACTGAAAGGTCCCAGGTTCGATTCCAGTCAAGGGCATGTACCTTGGTTGCAGGCACATCTCCAGTAGGGGGTGTGCAGGAGGCAGCTGATCGATGTTCTCATCGAGGTTTCTAACTGTCTGTCCCTCCCCCTTCCTCTCTGTAAAAAAATCAATAAAATATATTTTAAAAAATAAAAGAATAATCAGTCATGTCCTAACCCAGTGGTTGGCAAACCATGGCTCTCGAGCCACACGCAGTTCTTTGGCCCCTTGAGTGTGGCTCTTCCACAAAATAATAATTTTTCTATTTTATAGGAATTAATCAACATTCATTAATGTACAAAGACAATTACTGATGAGGATTTCCTGTAGAAGTACAGAAATCTTATTAGTCAACTTTCACCCTCCATACTACATTCCAATATTGGAAACCAATTGAATGATTCTTGATAATTTTGTGTTTAAAATTTTTAGCCCTAAGAATTTGTGAGTTCTGAAATTGCCTCCTAATCTAGTATAACCAAATGGAAGACTGCTAATTTTCAGAACAAGTTGAAAAACAAGAGTTTTAATTTGGTACATTTTTATTTTATTTTATTTTATTGATTTTTTTACAGAGAGGAAGGGAGAGAGAGCTAGAAACATCGATGAGAGAAACATCGACCAGCTGCCTCTGGCACACCCCCTACTGGGGATGTGCCCGCAACCAACATACATGCATGCCCCTGACCGGAATCGAACCTGGGACCCTTCAGTCCGCAGACCATAGCTCTACCACTGAGCCAAACCAGTTTCGGCCTAATTTGGTACATTTAAGGGACAAAATCCTTATGAGTTGAGTAAGCAAATCTGCAAGCTAAGATTTTTTTTTTTTCAGCTTTAGTTTTAGGTCCACTTTCCTCTCAAAGAAGATGTTTTTTAAAAATATATTTTTATTCATTTCAGAGAGGAAGAGAGAAGGGAGAGATAGAAACACCAGTGATGAGAGAGTATCATTGATTGGCTGTCTCCTGCATGCCTCATACTGAGGACTGAGCCTGCAACCCAGGCACGTGCCCTTGACCAGAATCGAACCTGGGACCCTTCAGTGCACAGGCTGACGCTCTTTCCACTGAACCAAACCAGCTAGAGCTAAAGATGATTTTTAAAAATGGATATTTAGAGAGAGAAGAAGGGAGAGGAAGAGAGAGCAAAACATCGATGTGAGAGCAAAATACCAAGTGGCTGTGCAACCTGGGTGTGTGCTCAAACTGGGAATTGAATCATCAACCTTTCAGTACATGGGACATCATCCAACCAACTGAGCCACACCAGTCAGGACACTATATCTCTCTTTAATGGGCTCTGCACAAAGTTATATTAATAGGTATATTAATAGTTATATTAATACACCTGAGAGAAAGAGTATAAATTAAGAGTTTGTAACTAAGCACAATGATAATATCTGTCTTCTTCATTAATGACAAAGCCATAATAATTAATAAGGTTTTCTAATAGAAATACTTATCTCCTACCTATACTCTTACATTGATTATGTCTCTGATGAACAGAAAGCTATAACTGTCTCTTTTCAAGTCTGTCTGTATCACATTGACCAGTTTTGGGCAACTCATTCATAGCTGCCTGTCTTTGTTGAATGGTCTTCACAAATCTGAGCAGATTGACGAGGGCAGCAGGTGTCACTCCAGGTATCCGACTTGCAGCCCCAATCTATGAATTGAAACCACAAGAAAAACAAAGTGAGCTACGTCAAATAAAATTTTCCTTCCAGTGACAGTAACAATTTTAAAAAACAAATCTTTATTGTTCAGATTATTACAATTGTTCCCCCCCCCCCCAGCTCCCCTCCACCTGGTCCCCACTCCACCCTCTGTCCTTACCCCCCCCCCCATAGTTCTCATCCATAGGTATATGATTTTTGTCCAGTCTCTTCCCGTACTCCCCACACAAACACCCCTTTCCTCCTGAGAATTACCAATCCCCTCCCATTCTATGCCCCTGATTCTATTATATTCACCAGTTTATTCTGTTCCTCAGATTTTTAATTCACTTGACTTTTAGATTCACTGGTTGATAGATATGTATGTTGTTCATAATTTTTATCTTTACTTTTTTCTTCTTTTTCTTCTTCTTAAAGAATACCTTTTAGCATTTCATATAATACTGATTTGGTGGTGGTGTATTCCTTTAGCTTTCTCTGATCTGTGAATTTTTTTTTATTAAAATATATTTTATTGATTTTTTACAGAGAGAAAGGGAGATAGAGAGCCAGAAACATCGATGAGAGAGAAACATTGGCCAGCTTCCTCCTGCACACCCCCTACCAGGGATGTGCCCACAACCACTGTACATGCCCTTGACCGGAATCGAACCTGGGACCTTTCAGTCGGCAGACCGACGCTCTACCACTGAGCCAAACCGGTTTCGGCAAATCTGTGAAGCTTTTTTTTATCTGCCCTTCAATTCTGAATGATAACTTTGCTGGGTAGAGTAATCTTGGTTGTAAGTTCTCACTATTCATCACTTTGAATATTTCTTGCCACTCCCGTCTGGCCTTCATAGTTTCTGTTGAGAAATCAGCTGACAATCTTATGGGTGCTCCCTTGTAGGTAATTTTTTCTCTTGCTGCTTGTAAGATTCTCTGTCTTTTGCTCTTGGCATTTTAATTATGATGTGTCTTGGTGTGGGCCTCTTTGCATTCCTTTTGTTTGGGGTTCTGTGTGCTTCCTGGACTTGTAAGTCTACTTCTTTCACCAGGTGGGGGAAGTTTTCTGACATTATTTCTTCAAATAGGTTTTCAGTATCTTGCTCTCCCTTCTTCTGGCACTCCCATAATTCTGATGTTGGTACACTTAAAGTTGTCCCAGAGGCTTCTTACACTATCTTCAACTTTCTGGATTCTCTTCTCTTCTTGCTTCTCTGTAAGAGTGGCCTTTTCCTCTTGGTATTCCAAATCTTTGACTTGATTCTTGCGTTCTAGCCTGCTGTTGGGTGTCTATAATATTTTTTTATTTCAGTCAGTGTATGTTTAATTTCTAGTTGGTTTAATTTCTTTTTCATATTCTCGAGGGTCTCATTAAATTTATCAGCCTTTTCTAGGAAATTCTTGAAAAACCATATAACGGTGGTTTTGAACTCTATATCGTCTTTTGTTCTGCTCCATTTCTTTTGTTTGAGATCTCCTTCCTTTTCTCAGCATTTTCGCTGCTTATGCAAAAGCAGCTGTGTGGAGCCTGGGTGGGTTTGTAGAATGTGTGGGGCAGGATCTCAGGACATCACTAGGCTGGGGTATTGCAAACAACAATGGCTGCTGTCAGAAATCTCTGCTTTTCAGCGTTTCCAAGTCCCTGCATTCCTCTGCAGAAGTCACCCCTCACTTTCAGACCCGATGGCCGACAAACCAGCTTCTCCCCATAGGAGTCTGGGTCCCCGCATGACCCCAGATACTGGATTTCAAAGTGATCGGGAGCTTGTTTCCCTTCTGACTGAAAAAAATCCGCGTGCCCAGTTGCCCTCCACCAGCCCGATTCGAGTGCCTCCGTACCTAGGCTTTTTAGTGCTTGTGCTCCTTTCTTTTTCAACCAGCTTTCCTGTGGTTTTGGGTGATAGACATTTTGTCTTTTAGTTGTAGTTTTGAAATTGTTGTGCGAGGTGGCAGATTAGTTGCTCACCTACGCCACCATCTTGGTTTTTTCGACAGTAACAATTTATATATTACAATTTATAAAATACTTTCAAAACTATTACCTTAATGTTTTCAAAAATAACTATAAAATAGGTAATGTTATTATCTCCCTTTTTAAAAATATATATTTTATTGATTTTTTACAGAGAGGAAGGGAGAGGGTTAGAGAATTAGAAACATTGATGAGCAAGAAACATTGATCAGCTGCCTCCTGCACACTCTCTAGTGGGTATGTGCCTGCAACCAAGGTACATGCCCTTGACCGGAATCGAACCTGGGATCCTTGAATACGCAGGCCGACGCTCTATCCACTGAGCCAAACTGGTTAGAGGCCCCCCCCTTTTTTTTTAAATGGGAAAAATGAGGCTTAGCGAAAATAAAATGACTTGTCCAAGATCACATAAATAACAGATGTTGGGACACTTACTTTTTCTTTTCATTAAACTAATGTAACATCCCTAGCAGTGTGTTGGGCAGCACCCTATAATTAATCTCAACATTTCTGTGTTGTATTTTTATAATGAAATATATAAATATTAACTCTAAGTGATGTAATGACTAACCCCAGGCCAATTCAGGTCAGTTTTGCCACCAAATGAGTCTACAACAAACATTTATCAGAGCTTTTTGTATTTTAGAACTTGAGTAAAGGATTGTGAGCCTGATGACCAGTGCTATCGAACTGAATTTTCTGTGATAATGGAAATTTTCTATAACATTTGCACTCAAAAAATGTATGTCCAACATGATAGCCACTAGCCATATGTAACCACTGAGCACCTGAAATGTGGCTAATATGAGTGAATAGTTGAATTTTAATTCTTAAAAATTTTAATTAATGTAAATGGTCTATTTGACTAGTAGCCATAATACTAGGCAGTATAGCCTATGACTATCCATAAAAATATAACCCCCAAACGAATAGTATATATAGAGGTATAAAATTTAAGGCTTATTTCCATGGTTTCCATGCCTATTGCTAGGAACAACATGCCATATTTATGAAATCACTCCTTCCTTTAAAAATCATTAAATATTTTTGTTCTCTAGCCTGTCTGGCTCAGTGGATAGAGCGTCAGCCTACAGACTGAAAGGTCCATGTTCAATTCCAGCCAAGGGCATATACCTTGGTTGTGGTACATCCCCAGTGGAAGGTGTACAGGAGGCAGCTGATCTATGTTTCTCTCTCATCGATGTTTCTAACTCTCTATCCCTCCCCCTTCCTCTCAGTAAAGTCAATAAAATATATTAAAAAAAATTTTTTTTGTTAAATGCTCCTTTTTTGTTATGAACCACTACTAAAAACAACAAAAAACCCATTGTCATTAAACTATGAGACACCAACAATTTTGAAGGTACAACTTAGCTTTTCAGAGATGTTAAAATGTATGTCTTAGAATCAATAAATACAGCCTGTCAGTCTTTTTTTTAAAAAAAATATATCTTTATTGATTTCAGAGAGGAAGGGAGAAGAAAAGAAAGAGATAGAAACAAGATGAGAGAGAGAATTATTGATCGGCTGCCTCCTGCGCACCCCCCCACTGGGGATCGAGACTGCAACCGGGGCATGTGCCCTTGACCAGAATCGAACCTGGGACCCTTCTTCCACAGGCCGATGTTCTATCCACTGAGCCAAACCAGCCAGGGCCAACCTATTAGTCTTTAGCATTTTTATTAGAAGTTCAATACTATACACAACGAAGATTTTTATGGACATTTACAGATGTGTGTCTGTATGTGTACAAGCATGTAGCTGCACATACAGGTGCACACGCATGCACACACACCTACACACATACTTGGGCTAAAGCATGGGGCAGGAAACCTCTTCGGCTCCCCTTTCTCCTAGTTGCTCTCAAGGCCACACTACTGAGTCCCTAGACAGGGAACCGAGAAGTGATTTGAAAATCACCAAATTATAATCGAATTCTTGACTTGTGGTTATTTAGACTAAGATTTTTCCTCTTAAAAATATATTGACATCTGTCATAGAAAGAGATACTGAAAATAAGAAGTTACTTTTTTATGATGAACTAAACCTTAGTTATATGATGATGGTAACTCCAGGTTTAAAAAAGAAAGCACCGTGGAAACTAAAGAGAAAATAAACAAATGGGATTACATCAAAATAAAAACTGCACAGCAAAGGAAACCACCAATAAAACAAGAAAGCCCACTGCATGGGAGAACATATTCAACAATGATGTCAACAATAAGAGTTTAATCTCCAACATTTATAGGGATCTCATACAATTTAACAAAAAGAACATAAACAATCCAATAAAAAATAGACAACCGATCTAAATAGACACTTTTCAAAAGAAGACAGAAGGCCAAGAAACATATGAAAACTGCTTAAAGTCACTTATTATCACAGAGATGCAAATTAATATATATATTTTATTGATTTTTTTACAGAGGAAAGAAGAGATAGAGAGCTAGAAACGTTGATGAGAGAGAAACATCGACCAGCTGCCTCTTGCACACCCCCTACTGGGGATGTGCCCGCAACCAACGTACATGCCCTTGACTGGAATTGAACCTGGGACCTTTTAGTCCGCAGACTGATGCTCTATGGCTGAGCCAAACCGGTTTTGGCAGAGAGATGCAAATTAAAACAACAATGCGGTACTATCTTACACCTGTCAGAATGGCTATCATCAACAAATCAACAAACGACAAGTGCTGGTGAGGATGTGGAAAAAAGGAACCCTCGTGCATTGCTGGTGGGAATGCAGACTAGTGCAGCCACTATGAAGAACAGTATGGAGTTTCCTCAAAAAACTAAAAATGGAACTCCTATTTGACCCAGTGATCCCACTTCTAGGAATATATCCCAAGAAACTAGGAACACCAATCAGAAAGGATATATGCACCCCTATGTTCATAGCAGCACAATTCACCATAGCTAAGATCTGGAAACAGCCTAAGTGCCCATCAGCAGATGAGTGGATTAAAAAACTGTGGTACATCTACACAATGGAATACTAGGATGCGGCAAAGAAGAAGGAGTTCTTACCATTTGCAACAACATGGATAGAATTGGAGAGCATTATGCTAAGTGAAATTAGCCAGGCAGAGAAAGATAAATATCACATGATCTCACTCATTTGTGGAATATATGAACAATATAAACTGATGAACAAAAAATATATCCAGAGACAGAGGAACATCAATCAGACCGTCAAACCTCAGAGAAGGTGGGAGTAAGGGGGAGAGACCAACAGAGGGACTGTGTGCATGCATATGAGCCTAATCAATGGACACAGACAACGGGGGGGGGGGGGGGGGGCATGAGTAGGGGTGTAAGGACATATATGTAAAAAATAAAAATTAATAAATAAAAAAATTTATAAGAAAAAGAAAAAAGCAAGCACTGGCTCTAATTTTTAACCTATTCCTATCCACTGCCCGTTTTCTTACCGTCTGTGGGCGACTGAAATGTAGCTTCTCTCGAACTTCCTGGGACAAAGACACATCCCTGAGAGTCAAATAATCCAGGTCTTTCGGCAGTTGGAGGGCTTCATCTCGCTGAATGTCCTTTATTTCTTGTTGCTGATGGAACAATACTGTTTCATAAGTGGCTGGTGAACAAAATAAATTATGTCATGATAGATTACATTAACAAGTTACATTTTTATAACCTTTTATAATTTATAAAGAGCTTTTGCTGCATTATCTCATTCAACACCATGAGAGAGGTGGGGTTACCTGTTCCCTTTCGCAGTGCTGGTGAGAATGCAGACTAGTGCAACCACTGTGGAGAATAGTATGGAGTTTCCTCAAAAAACTAAAAATGGAACTCCCATTTGACCCAGTGATCCCACTTCTAGGAATATATCCCAAGAAACTAGGAACACCAATCAGAAAGGATATATGCACCTCTATGTTCATAGCAGCACAATTCACCATAGCTAAGATCTGGAAACAGCCTAAGTGCCCATCAGCAGATGAGTGGATTAAAAAACTGTGGTACATCTACACACTGGAATACTACACTATGGTAAAGAAGAAGGAGATTAAAGCTAAAATAGAGGGAATATCTAACATATTACTACAATATCTGTCTGGTAGTTTACTGACTGGCCTTTCACTTCAAAACTTTGGAAAATTAAAAGAGAAATTGTGTTTCTTCTCATGCAAATTTTGGTGGAACATCCCTCAAAAGGCTGTGGGTTTGAATTTTAAGTCCTAAAGGACAGATGTTTCTTCAAGAAAATGTTTCTGAATTATGAACATATAAAGCTGTATTTTTTTTACGTAAAGCTTCTCAAATAATTTAAATAAGGTTTTACTCAGACATAAAGTTAAAAAGGTAATTCAGCCATTATTTTATAATTAAAGCATTTTGTTCTTAGAAACATAAACTCAAAATGTATTTTAAAACCTAACCTGAGGTAGTCACTCTGTCCTGTTCAAGAAATGTTTTCTCTGAAGGTTTTGGTAGCACCTGCTTCCATCACTTGTCTGGTAGCCAGAAAATCTCAGCCTGGCTCTGCCAATGAATTGCCCTCTAACTATCGGCATGTCATAATCATTCTGGCCCTCCATTTGTTTATCTAGAAAATTTAAGGGCTAACTTAGATGACTTCTGATGGTCAAAGGGTGGTTGTGAAGTACACAGGCTTTAGACAAGCTAGATTCAATCCCAGCTCTGCCACTCACCAGTTGTGTGTTTTTTGGAAAATTACCACTTATCTGTAAAATTAAGGTAATAATGCTAATACCTATTCTTCATAGGACATCTACAAGTATCAAATGAAATAATGCACATAAAGGGCTTACTACAACATTGCAAAATAACAATATAGTACAACAAATTGTAATACAACTTTATGACTCATGAATAGACAAGGGATAATTGGATATAAATGAGAAAACATATATGTTAAAGTATATTTAATCTTTCAAATATGTATATAGCAAAAACATCAGAGATAATATAAAGAATCTGAAACCGATTTCTGCCTTTAAGAAACTTAAAAGATCCTCTAGTGGAAAAACTGTGAAGTAACTAGAAAACCACTGATATGTCTTATATTTTAACCTAGTGTGGTTTCTTTTAGGCCATGGATATTAATTAAGAGTCTTTATTTACAAACAAGTTAAATTATTCTGGATTATTCTAACCTGAACCTGGTGATTTACTGGACAAATTAAGTTGCAAATCAAGTTAAAAATGAAGAATTTAATCACCTTTTTTCAATGCTAGGATCCTAAACGTTCAATAAAGTAATTTTTACTTAATACAGAAATCATGATATCGAAATAAAAGGTATTACTTCTTATACATTAGTACACTACTAGTGTCTGATTATTTGAAAGAATGATTCTAGAGTTTAAATGGGTTTTCTTTTGTTGCTAGGCTTTTGTTAACTTGCATGGAGGGACGGCAGGCAGCATTTGGGTCATCCTATGAAAGCAGCCAAAGCGTAGCAAGTGATAGGCCTCTCTGGAACTGATAGAAGATGCCACTGCTAGCAAGAATGTAGCATTCTTACCACATTCGCTGGGCCAAGGAGCTTTAAAATCCTTTCCTGTTTGAACAGTGCATCATCATCACCCAATTTTTCCTACTATTCTCCCCATTTCATTCTGTTACTTGCCTTTTGACCCAGATAATTTCCACCCCAGGAAAACACTTCCTCTATCAAAATACAGAAGCTGATCTTATTCTCAGTATTTTTATGTTTGAAATTTTTCATAATGAAAAACTTTTTAAAAGTCTTCTGTAGCTTTGAGGGTCAATACACTGACTCAGAGTAGGACCCAAGAGTATGGATTTCTTTGCCTGATAAAATAAGTAGTTATTGGTAAAAATGTTCTAGTATACTGTCAAAGCCAAATATAGTAATATTTTTCTCATTATTAGAATATTATATGAGGAAACTGTAAAAAGGAAGTTCAAGAAAAAAAAAAAAAGAGTTGTTGCTTTTTTCTTTAAGGGATTTACAGTAGTAGTTCCTAAACTTGAAATGTGCACTGTAATCACATGGGGATCTTGTAAAATGCAGATGTTCACTCAGTGGGTCTGCAGTGGAGCCTGATAGTCTGCATTCTTAACAAGCTCCCACGTGTTGCAATGCTCCTAACCTGGGAACTCCACTTTGAGTAGCACAGAGCCTAACACTATGCTGGTCCTATGATAATAATGGCTCCTCTTAAAATAGAGCTCTGCTGTCCATTCATAATTTATACAAACAGCAAAGAGATAATATATATAGGCATCTTAAGTAAAAGAAGTATTTCTACCTTCTATTTTCAGTCTTTCAGCTAGCTCTCTACATTGAGTGTACTTCTTCAAGGGTCCTGGAACAGCCTTTGCCAATAACTCCAGGTCAACTTCCTCATACTTAAGAACATCTAGAGCTCTGCAAATACACAAAAAATTCATTAACAAAGGGGCCCATACAACACAAGACAGATTAAGAACAGGATTCCTTGGAAATAATAATCTCAGAATAAATAATATCAAGACAATTAATTTTTTCCATGGACAGTGAATAAATGCAGCAGCATCTGCAACACAGAACCTCAATAAGATGTGTGTGATTCTCCCCAACTCCCTTCCCTTATCATGAGAAATGAGATGTTGGTAAAGTTTGCATTGCTATAATCCATTTGTCCTTTCTTGTAAGGACAGAATATCTTTTGATAAGAAGGGTTTGACTGAATTCCGTAAGAATTTACATCTAAGCCATAGCCATGTAACCCATGTTCTGTAAGAGAGTCATCCTTTTGCATGCTCGGATCCAGCTGAAGGAAGTCTCCTGCTTGCTCCAAGACTGCAAAATATTCTATAGTTTCTCTCATTTTGTGTGGTTTTCACAATGCCCCAATCTGTACAATTTCCCTATATTTACTGACATAATTCATTTTATTTACTAACTTTGATCTTTCTTTCTTCTTGTTGGTTGTCTTTTTAATAAATGCTGCCCACCCAAAACCAATTAAAACAAGTCATTATCAAATTAACAGGAAGTCAGACCTGCCCATCTAGGGGTCCCAAGTACTCCCAGGCTTCCTACCAACCTTCTTTAAGTCCATTCTATTATCACAGTCATGCAGATGTCTGACTCATCTATCCCTCAGGAAGCCTGCTCTAGGAAAGTCCAGAAATTCTGTCTCCACAGGGACTGGACAACTAATTACAGAGGCCTCAGCAGATAAGCTACACTGAAGCTATAGAACCAGATGCTCCAAAAGGGTAATTGTTATCAATTTCAGAAATTACAGAACACTAGAGGCCCGGTGCACAAATTCATGTATGGGTGGGGTCCCTCGGCCTGGCTGGCAATCTTGGGGCTGTCTTGCCCAGTTGGGGCCCATTGTGGTTGGCCAGCCAGGGGGAAGAGACTGTGGGAGGTTGGCCGGCTGCAGGAGATTGGCTGTGGGAGCGCACTGTGTTGAGCGCCTGCCCCTTGGTGGTCAGTGCATGTCATAGCTATAGGCCAGTCAAAATGGTTGCTTAGGCTTTTATGTATATAGATAAAAATGGAATGCACTTCCTAATGACTAACCCCAAAAAAGAGTTACTTTGGAATCAAGTAGGGTTGTGACCCCGAAGAAGAACCCTTGACCGCTGAAAGCAGTTTAGCTCAGTGGATAGAGTGTCAGCCTAGGGACTAAAAGATCCTGGGTTCGATTCTGATCAAGGGCATATACCTTGGTTGTGGGCACATGCCCAGTAGGGGGTGTGCAAGAGGCAGCTGATCCGATGATTCTCTCTCATCGATGTTTCTAACACTCTATCCCTCTCTTTAAAAAAAATCAATAAAATAGATATTTTTTAAAAAATCTGCTTTGGATATGCTTATCTTTAAAAAACAAACAAACAAATAAAAAACCTTGACCATCTAACTTATTAAAAAAAAAAATAACCCTTTTTTTTACAAGGCTTGGTTCACAGGTCTAGACTTAAGGACATACTCTGAGTCAAGCCTAAGCCTCAAAGTACAGAGGTCTGGCACACTTCAACAGAAGATCAGAGAACTTCTGAGCCACCTAACTCATTAATAGGTTTTTGTGTAATCTTGACAAGAAATGAATGTGCACATGCATTTGTGTATCTCTCTGGTTAAAGTGCCTGCTCAACCCAGCTGGTGTGGCTCAGTGGTTGAGCATCAACCTATGAACCAGAAGGTTTGATTCCTGGTCAGAACACATGCCTGGTTTGCAGGCTCAATCCCCAGTGAGGAGTGTGCGGGAAGCAGTTGATCAATGATTTCTCTCATTTTTGATACTTCTCTCTCTCTCTCTCTCTCTCGCAGTTGATCAATGATTTCTCTCATTTTTGATACTTCTCCCTCTCTCTCTCTCTCTCTCTCTCTCTCTCTCTCTCTCTCTCTCTCTCTCTCTCTCTCTCTTCCTTTCTCTCTGAAATCAATTAAAAAAAAAAAGCCTGTTCAAAGTCTGGTTCAACTTGTCAGTGCTCAGCACAGAGCCTGGCATGTATGCAGTAAAAGCAATCAAAGTATTTTGACCAACTTTCTATCTTTTTAGTTTTATTTACTGAGGATTGATAAAGTGAGTTCATTTAGGATATTAAATGTCAACATAATCAAAATATAAATTTTTAATATAAAAAACAGTAAGTTAAAAAGAAGTAAATTCATTTAGAGATGCTGAATGCGAGGCTATCAATATTGTGCTGAAATCAAATACGGGGCACTGGGACCCTGTTTCCTCCTTAAGGGAAAGAACAAAATTGAAAAGGAAAGCATTTGACCAAATTACTTTTTTTTTTTTTAAATCACCTTAATCATAGGATTTGTTGGATAAAGGTAAAATTGTAGCCTCCTTTTACATCTTCTTATCATCAATTAGCATTTTAAACTGAGTTGAAAACAATCGCTCCCCTGCTTTCACTATGACCTCAAACATATTAGTCATATTTAATGCAACTTCTAATTATATAAATTTGAAATAGTGTGATATTTGATCAAAACAAAACATAATGTCATATATTCCTTGTGCAAAGTTTGAAATAATGTGTAACTTCCTAAATTTAAACAAACAGCCATAAAATTGAGTAAATACAATTATGAACTATGTTTATACTATCTGTCAGTGCCACTTAGCTGGTAAACAAATATATCCATCAACCTTATTTGTGAATCAAGCTGTCATTCCTGTGAATGTCTTTGATTTGGGTGACTACTATGCAGGTTATTTAATAATTACTGTTACTATAATTAAAAATCTGTTTAACAGCCAACCTCATACTCAATGGGCAAAATCTAAAAGCATTTCCTTAAGATGAGGAACAAGACAAGGGTGTCCACGTCCATCGCTCTCATTCAACATAGCACTAGAAGTCCTTGCCACAGCAATCAGACAAGAGAAATAAAAGGCATCCAAATTGGAAAGGAGAAAGTAATACTCATTATTCACAGATGACATGATACCACACACAGAAAACCTTAAAAACCTCTCCAAAAAACTGTCAGATCTACTAAACCAATTTGGCAGAGTAGCAGGATACAAAATTAACATCCATAAATCAATAGCATTTTTATACACCAATAATGAATCCTCAGAAAAAGTAACTAAAAAAAAAATCCCATTTACCATTGCAACAACAAAAAGATAGTATACTTGGGAATAAACTTAACCAAGGAGGTAAAAGACCTATACTCGGAAGAATTTAGGACAATGAAAAGGAAAGAGAGGAAGACCCAAAAAAGTGGAAGCATATACCGTGTTCATAGACTGGAAGAATTAACATAATTAAAATGTCCATATTACCCAGAGCAATCTACAGATTCAATGCAATCCCGATTAAAATGTCAATGGCATATTTCACAGATCTAGAACAAATATTCCAAATACTTATAATAATAATAATAATAATAATAATAATAAAAAGACCCTTAATAGCCACAGAAGTCTTGAGAAAGAACAAAGTTAGAGGGATCACAATACCAGATATCAAAATATACTACAAAGCCACTGTAATCAAAACAGCCTGGTGCTGTCACAGAATAGAAATCTTAGAAATTGACCCATGACCATATAGCCAATTAATATTTGACAAAGAAGGTAAAAGCATACAATGAAATAAAGATAATCTCTTCAATAAATGGTGTTGGGAAAATTGAACAGGTACATAAAAACCAAAACAAAACAAACTAGACCACCAACTTACACCATACACAAGAATAAATTCAGATTGGATAAAAGACATAAATGTAAAACATGAAACCATAAAAATCCTAGAAGAAAACATAGACAGTAAGATCTCATTTTTACCGATACATTGCCTAGAGCACATGTGTCAAACACAAGGCCCGAGGGCCAAATCCGTCCCGCCAGGCCTTGCAATGTGGCCCGCACCGCGCTGTCATCACTGCACTCCGCTGCATTTCCATCACAATGACAGTTTATGACTGTTCAGTAAACCATTCAGCCCGAGATTTAGGCTGGATTTTAGATTTTGGCCCCTTCTCTGATTGAGTTCGACACCCCTAGCCTAGAGCAAGGGAAACAAAAGAAAAAATTAACAAATGGGACTACAACAAACTAAAAAGCTTCTGTACAACAAAAGAAGCTATCAACAAGATGAAAAGGGAGCCCAATGTATGGGAAAACATACTCCCAATGATACATCTGATAAGGGTTTAATTTCCATAATATACTAAGAACCCATACACCTCAACACCAGGAAGACTAACAGCCCAATTAAAAAATGGACAAAGCACGTGAATAGACATTTCTCCAAAGAGGACATACAGATGACTAACAGGCACATGAAAAAATGCTCAAAGTCACTAATCATCAGGGAGAGGCAAATAAAAGTGACAATGAGCTATCACTTCATACCTGCCAGAATGGCTACTAATCAATAAATTAATAAACAACAAGTACTGGTGAGGATGTGGAGAAATGGGAATCCTAGTACACTGCTGGTATAAATGCAGACTGGTGCAGCTACTGTGGAAATCAGAATAGAGGTGTCTCAAAAAACTAAAAATGGATCTGCCATTTAATCCAGTGATCCCACTTCTGGGAATATATCCTAAGAATCCCAAAACACCATTCAGAAAGAATATATACACCCCTCTGTTCATGGAAGCATTATTTACAATAGCTAAGATCTAGAAAACATCCCAAGTGTCCATCAGTAGATGAGTGGATAAGAAAGCTGTGGTACATTTACACAATGGAATACTATGCATCTGTAAAGGATATCTTACCCTTTGAGACAACATGGAGGGACCTAGAAACTATTATGTTAAGTGAAATATTTCAGAGAAAGACAAATATCACATAATCTCACTTATAAGTGGATTCTCATGAACAAAATAAACTGAAAAACCAAACAGATCCAGAGACATGGAAACATGTAACAGACTGACAATTCTGAGGGAAGTGGGAGGGGGAAGGAAGAGATGAACCAAAGAACATATATGCATATGTACATAACCCATGTTGAAGGTCTGGGGAGGGGGCTAGAAGAGGGAGGGGGGACAAAAAGGGGACATATGTAATTCTTTTAACAATAAAGATAAATTTTAAAAAAATAAGTAGGGAGTTTTTAATGTCTCTCTGAAATGATCTCGTTTTTTTTGTTTTTTTAAAATATATATTTTATTGATTTTTTTACAGAGAGGAAGAGAGAAGGATAGAGAGTTAGAAACATCGATGAGAGAGAATCATCGATCAGCTGCCTCTTGCACACTCCCCACTGGGGATGTGCCCGCAACCAAGGTACATGCCCTTGACCGGAATTGAACCCGGGACCTTTCAGTCCGCAGGCTGACGCTCTATCCATTGAGCCAAACCGGTTTCGGCATGATCTCGTTTTTTTTTATAAATTCTGTAATTTGTAAGTTCTGTAACTGATATTAAAAATGCATACCTGATAGATACAACTTTACCCATACTTATAGAAGCCTCTGGGATTAACTTTTTCCATTTAGAACTTGAAAACTCAATGGATTTTAACATAGAAATGCCTTCTTCTAAAGAAGACTTCATCCAAGAAGCTCTTTCATATCTTTGTTGGGACACACAGCCAGCTTCCTTACACCCTAGAAGAAGGCAGGAGAGAACATGAGAGAGGTCTGAGAGAAGAGTAAACCTGGTTGGCAGACTCAGCGAAGAGTTACCTCGGAATGTGAGGCGGCTGTCAGCATTATCAGGGCGCAGTGACAAACGGAACTCTGCTCGGCTGGTAAACATTCGGTACGGTTCGTTGGTGCCATGTGTGGTGAGGTCATCAATCAGGACTCCTATGTAGCCTTCTGTCCGGCTAACAACAAAAGGAGGCTTGCGTCTGACCCGAAGACTTGCATTGATTCCAGCTATGACACCCTACAAGAGGACTGAAATGTTTAAAAGGCCATTATGAACTGATAAAAAGCTGTCCTGTTCAGAACACTACCTAGTAAAATAGCATGGGGCAGCAAGAAAGCAGGCACTGCCAGAATGGATAGACTAGAGGTAGAAAATCTGAACCTTACTTAGAAACAGAATATGGGTTATGTACCACTTTACAACACTATGATTCATTCAATACATGCCTAAAAACTTTTTTAGCCTTTTCCCATTTATAAAAAGAATAAAACTTCCCATTTAATAATAACACATGATCAATTTAGTAAAGTTATTTTAAAAGAATAAAGACACAAGTGTTTTTTTTTTTAAATCCTATTGCATACAATAACCATCTCCACATAACCTGAAACAGAAATGTCTTCTATTAGTTATGCATTGTATCTAAGATCTATATAATTATCGTAACACATTAAAAGGAGGAACACCAGTTAATTAGTCCCTTTCTGTTTACATTAACATTTGAACAAACCCTTACTTGGGCCGCAGCTTCCTCATAACCAGTAGTGCCATTTATCTGTCCAGCGAAGAAGAGCCGTTGCACCAAATGAGTCTCGAGAGAAGGAGTGATCTGACGGGGGTCTAAGTAATCATACTGAACACCATAGCCTGACCAAAGAATAATGGTACAAAGTAAGTAAAAACAGAGCTGGACTTGCCTCAAGGTAGAGGTGCAAATATTATCATTAAATGCTATTCAAAAATGGACACAGACACTGAGGGGGATGGGGGAGGGCATGTGCTGGAGGGTAGGGGAGGCCGGGTGGAAGTCAATGGGGAAAAAAGGAGACATAAAATATTACTATTTGTAATACTTTAAACAATAAAAGAAAAAAAAATGAAGACTATTTTAAATGCCAAGTTGTTGGGCTTTGTCTTCTGAGGCTCTAAGCAGCCCTGACTGCAGTTACAACCTCTTCTATCTGCTAAGATGATGCTGAGCTCCTACTGAAGGGCGGCTGTGATTCTCTTTACCTGGCTGGATCATTTTAGCTTTCTCCAAGCCTCTGATGCATGTGATCATTTTCTCTTGTAATTCAGCTGGCAGCGTCACAGATAACCCTTGGGGGTAGATGAGGTCAGAATCTATTCCTTCAGGTTCCAACCAAACCTGATGTAAACGGTTTGGAAAACGCAAAACCTTTGATTCAATGGAAGGACAGTATCTAGAAAAGGACATTGAAATTAAAAAATTTAATTGAACAAATGAAAGAGGCTGGCATCATTTCTTAAAGTAACTGAGCAGTCGCACTTTCTCCTTACCGGGGTCCTTTTGTAGTTTCCTTAATGTGACTATTAAGATGCAGGTTCTCAAGGATAATCTCATCCACTCTAGGGTTGGTGTGAGTCAAGTAACACGGCAGCTGATCTTCTGGCTAAAACACATGAATTAGTTATAACACTTTCGCCTCTCTACTAGTTTGCTTCTTATTCAAATAGACTGCACACATAATATTGGATGATGTTAAGAAATGATGTTTTTGCTGGATGTGATAATAGTACTATGGTTAATTCTTATATAACATTTTTATCTGTTAAAGACATATAATGAAGTATTTATAAGTGAAATGATGAGATATTTGAGATTGTTGATGAAAATCTGCAAGAAGAAAATATTAAGGGAAGATAAAAACAAGAATGCCAAAAAAAAGTTATTTGTTGAAGCTGGGTGATGGACACACAGATTCATTATACTATTTCTTCTATTCTCTATATAAACTTAAATTTTATAATAAAAGTTTTAAAATACATATTCCAAGAAAGTATTATCACAATTTATATTTTCCAAAAGCAAAAATATAAAAGTGAGTTTTCAAAAAAGAAAAAAACACACACAACAATATTTGAAGCCACTCATTAGGATAACGCTTACAAGAAACTAGAACCATTATTATTAGTCCTCAATTCTAAAAACACAATATACTTTTTTTTTTTTTTAATATTCAAAAGACAAGGCAAAAGTAACCTGTACTCTTAAAAAATGTCAGTATTGTACAAGACTGAAGAATTATTTCAGATGAAAGAGAGATGGCCCTAACCAGTTTGGCTCAGTGGATAGAGCATCAGCCTGCAGACTGAAGGGTCTCAGGTTCTATTCTGGCCAAGGGCAATGCCTGGGTTGTGGGCTTGATCTCCAGTGGGGGGCAGGCAGGGGGCAGCCAATCAATGATTCTCTCTCATCATTGATGTTTCTATCTCTCTCTCTCCCGTCTCCCTTCCTCTCTGAAATCATATATATATATATATATATATAGATATCTATATCTATATCTATATCTATATATATTTTAAACATCGTTTTAATATATTTTATTGATATTTTACAGAGAGGAAGAGAAAGAGATAGAGAGTTAGAAATATCGATGAGAGAGAATCGTTGATCAGCTGCCTCTTGCACACCCCCCTCTGGGGATGTGCCTGCAACCAAGGTACATGCTCTTGACCAAAATCGAACCCGGGACCCTTCAGTCCCCAGGTTCTATCCATTGAGCCAAACCGGTTTTGGCTGAAATCATAAATTTTTTTTTAAAGAGAAATGATGATTAAATATATGATCTTAGATTGGGGAAAAAAATGACTGCTATTAAAGGACAATACTGGGATAATCAGTAAAATCTGACTCTGAACATAATATCAGACTAGAGGCCCAGTACACAAATTTGTACACAGGTGGGGTCTGGCCAGCCTGCCCCAATCAGAGCGATCAGGCCAGCTGGCTGGCCAGGAAGAGGGGCCACAGGCAGTTGGCTGGCTGGCCCTTCCTCCTGGTCAAACTCCTAGTTGAACTCCTGGTCGAACTCCAGATCGAGGGGACAATTTGCATATTAGCCTTTTATTATATAGGATAATACTATTGAATCAATGTTAAATTCCCCAAATTTTATCACTGAATTGAGGTTCTATAAGAGGATGTTTTTGTGTTTAGTTGAGATACAGACTGAACTATTTAGGGGTAAAGGGTCATGATCTTTGCAATTTGCTCTCAAATGTATCAGACAAAAAAGAAGCGTCAGAATGAATGTGTACTGGTGAGATAGATACGTTTGTCAAAATCCACAGACTGTATGACAGCCACAGAGAGTGAATGCAGATGTAAACTTTGGACCCTCTGTGTGATCATGATGTATCGATGCAGATTCCTGGACTGTGACCAACACACAATTCTGATACAGGATGTCGATAGGATAGTGGAGCAATGGAAGGCTCTGAGTGTGCATGGTGCATGTGCCTGAGCGTGTGTTGGGGGAGGGAGAGCAGCAACAACAACAACAAAGTATGAGTGTGTAATCTACTGTTTTATACTATATATAAATCTATATATAGACATATAGGTATATATCTAGAGAGAAAGAAATATGATAAATTGCCGAAACCGGTTTGGCTCAATGGATAGAGCGTCGGCTTGGGGACTGAAGGGACCCGGGTTCGATTCCGGTCAAGGGCACGTACCTTGGTTGCGAGCATATCCCCAGTAGGGGGTGTGCAAGAGGCAGCTGATCGATGACACTCTCTCTCATCGATGTTTCTAACTCTCTATCTCTCTCCCTTCCTCTCTGTACAAAATCAATAAAATATATATTAAAAAAAAAGAAAGAAATATGATAAATTATTAACAGTGGATGAATTTCAATGGTTTGTAGGAGATTATTCTAGTTGCCTTGCAATTTTTCTATAGGTATAAGATTGTTTCAAAAAGTTTAAATAGGGCCAAAACTGGTTTGGCTCAGTGGATAGAGTGTCAGTCTGCGGACTGAAAGGTCCCAGGTTCGATTCCGGTCAAGGGCATGTATAATACATTGGTTGCGGGCACATCCCCAATGGGGAGTGTGCAGGAGGCAACTGGTCAATGTTTCTTTTTCATCGACGTTTCTAGCTCTCTAACCTTCTCCCTTCCTCTCTGTGGAAAATCAATAAAATATATTAAAAAATAAATAAATAAATAAAGAGCACCAGCTCCTCTCTCTCTCTCTCTCTCTCTATATATATATGTATGTTTAAATAGGCAAAGTTATTAAAGAAATAACTTAAGAACATATGGGAAAATGACCCAATCAGCCAAATTAACTAATCCTTTAAAAGATCCTTTTTTTTTTTTTTTTTTTTTGCATTAAGTAATAGTGATATAAAGTGCATTGCTACTAGGAGAGAGAGAGAGAGAGAGAGAGAGAGAGAGAGAGAGAGAGAGGGAGGAAGAGAGAGAGAGAGAGAGATATCACAAAAGAAAGAGAGAAAGGGAAGCAGAGAAGAAGGATGTGTTAGGCTATACAGACAGTCCTCAAGTTACGTCGGACTCGATGTATATCATTTGGTGCTACATCGCCATCTCCCATTTATTTATAAAAAAAAAAAAAAAAAAAAAAAGATGTTCCATCATTTTGACGTATGTTCATATATGCCTTCATGTTGTTATTTATTTATCACAAGTAAAGGTCAGGAATTGTTACCTTTTAAAATTTTTTAAAAATATATATTTTATTTCTTTTTTACAGAGAGGAAGGGAGAGGGATAGAGATTTAGAAACATCGATGAAAGAGAAATATCAATCAGCTGCCTCCTGCACACCTCCTACTGGGGATGTGCCTGCAACCAAGGTACACACCCTTGACCGGAATCGAACCTGGGACCCTCCAGTCCACAGGTTGATGCTCTATGCACTGAGCCAAATCAGCCAGGGCATCTTTTAAATTTTTTTAATGTTTCACTTCATTACTGCTGTGTATGTGCTCCATGTGAGTGATGTAGGTGCTTATGTGGGTGGGTTCCAACTTACGGCCAAAATTGCGTTACATCGCGCGGTAGGAACCATAGAAACCATAGGAACTAATCTCTGACGTAACCCGAGGACCTACTGTATCCTTCTGTGAATGACCAATATTTATCTGTAAAGCCAGATTTTCATAATTACTTACCTTAATCCACACTGTTTCATTAATAAAGCTGAATGGTATGGATGGATTATCTGGTGTTTGCTTGTTTAGAATGCTGAAATTAATGGAGTCTTTGGCAATTCGGGGTGGAGTCCCAGTCTTCAATCTTCCCACCACAAACCCCAACTTCTCCAGAGTCTGAGCCAACCCAATGGAAGGCTGGTCTCCTAAACGTCCTGCCGGATGCATCTCCAATCCAATTACAATCATGCCTCTCAGAAATGTCCCAGCAGTCAGAATCACGCTGTCTGCATATACTTTGCTTCCATCCACTAAAGGATAGGAAAGACAGTAAAAATCAAGTTCTAATTGTTACTATGGATCAAACTGAAATGTGACTACGTTAGAACTACAGAAAAACTTTCTCTTTAGAAATTTGAGAAATAATTTCAAATGAGTAAGAAGGCTACATGTTATCAATCTCTAGAATCCAAGAAAGTTGGGAGGGAGAACATAATGTACTATCATCTATTCACATGTTCCTAAAATTATACCAGCACTAAAAAAGATTAAATCAATTGATTTTAAAAATTAATTTAGGTAAGACTTCTGGTTAACAGTAAATCTTATAGACTACCTCATATAATTCCTTCTTCCTCCTGAAACTTCAAGAAAATGAAATAAAGGAGCAAAAGGGTATAAAACCACAAGGACAATGAGTGGGAGAGACTTGTCAAAAGATGAGACATTTCAAAATATTTTTAGAAGACAGAAAGTGGTTGGAAAAGTGATAAATGACCTCGCAAATGGGAGAAGACTGTAAATCAAGAATCTGAAGAGAATACACCAATGAGGATGAACTAATTAGCCCTATAAAGCCCAGGAAAAGGGAGAACTGAGGAATGTAGGAATGAAGCTTAGGGCTGAAATAAAGAGAAATATTGATAGATGGAATCTACACATAAAGGTTATATCCACACACAATTCCTTACAGAAAATTTAGGTTTATTCTTTGGGCAATGGGGAGTTACTGTTTAATAGAAATAGTTTCAATTTAGGATGATGAGAAAGTTCAGAAAGTTGAGGAAATAGATAGTAGTGAGTTCTATAATATTGTGGATGGACTTAGCAACACTCAATTGTACACTTAAAAATGGCTAAAATGCCCAGCTGGAGTAAATCAATTGGTTGAGCATTGTCTTGTGCATTGAAAGGTTCTTGGGTCAATACCCAGACAGGGCACATACCTAGGTTGTGGGTTCAATCCCTGGTTGGGGCACATATGGGAGGCAACCAATCAGTTTTCTCTCTCACACTGATGTCTTTCTCCATCTCCCTACCCCCACTTTCCTCTCTTTAAGCATGTTCTAAGGTAAGGATATTTTTTAAAAAAGGCAGACCCTGCCAGAGTGGCTCAGAGGTTGATTGTCAACCAGAAACCAAGAGGTGAATGAGCAAGAGGCAGACAATTAATGATGTTCCTCTCTCATCGATGTTTTTATCTCTCTATCCCACTCCCTTCCTCTCTCTTTAAAAATCATTAAATACACATATTTTTTTAAAAAGGCAAATTTTATGTTATGTTTACTTCCCCATTTTGCTGGACTATATCTTTTAGTAGCTTCCTAAGAAAAGATGCATGGGAAGTAGGTTTTGTGAGTCTTTGTATATCTATAAATTAATATTCTCCCCTTAAACTCAACTCTGAATTTGGCTGAGAATAGAATTCTAGTTTAAATCATATTTTTTCCCCTGAGAATTTTTACTGTCTTGCTCCATTTTCTAGTTTCCAGTTTTACTGTGAAGAAGATCAGTGCATATTTACTTAATTTTTTTTTTGTATATGACCCCCCCCTCCCCTTTCTAAAAGCTTCTAGGATCTTGTATGTGTCTCTGGTGTTCTGAAATTTTAAAATGTGTGGTCTTGGTTCATTCATTATATACTAGGTGTTCTCCTGAAACTAGAAATCTGTGTTGCAGATTAAAAAAAAAGTTCTATTATTAAGCCTATAAAGTAGACAGGTTAAAAAATAGCATTTAAAGATAGGAAATTAAGTAATAAAAACATAAATAAAGGTATAAGGTCTATACTAACAAAAATAATGTAATCATTAAATTTGCAGAGGATAGAAAACAGAATAGAGAAAAGGGAAATAAATTACTCATAGTGGAAAGTCAACAAACACTGACAGGAAGAAAGAAAAGATTAAGTATAGTATATAAAATTATAGTTATTAAAATAATCACCAGAACAAAAATACAAGCTTCTAAAAAAGAAACATAGTTCCCAGATGCAAAGCAAACACAGACTGTGTTTTTTAAAAAAGTACAGGTCAGTGTATATAATATGCTGTTATGTGAAACATACACACACACACACACACACACACACGAAGATACACGTATATTCACAGATAGAAAGACTATCCAAGACACTTAGCAATGCTCCTGAAGAACAACACTGATTGGTTGGGGGACAGATGAGAGAGAGACCATCTTTTCATGCTATGTTCTTTTGTCCTCTTTAAACTGTTTACTATGTATATATGTATTCCGCATTTTAAAAAATTAATAAATCTGAAATTTTATAATAGGGAAATTAAGTTAAGATCTTTATTTTAATTATATTTTTATGAATTTCAGAGAGGAAGGGAGAGGGAGAGATAGAAACATCAATGAAGAGAGAGAATCATTGATCAATGCCTCCTGCATGCCTCCTACTTGGAACCAAGCCCAAAACTGGGCATGTGCCCTGATCGGGTATTAGAATTGTGACCTCCTGGTTCATAGGCTAATAATGCTCAACCACTCAGCCATACCAGCCAGTCTCAAGATTTGTATTGTAAATGTTGAGATTCTCCAGCACAGTTCCTCTCATCATTTTTTTAAAATAATTTTTTAAATATATTTTATTGATTTTTTATAGAGAGGAAGGGAGAGAGATAGAGAGCTAGAAACATCGATGAGAGAGAGACATAGACCAACTGCCTCCTGCACATCCCCCACCGGGGATGTGCCTGCAAGCAGTGTACATGCCCTTGACCGGAATCGAACCCAGGACTCTTCAGTCCGCAGGCCGATGCTCTATCCACTGAGTCAAACCGGTTTCGGCATCTCTCATCATTTAAAAAAATATATTTTTTATTTATTTCAGAGAAGAAGGGAGAGGGAGAGAGAGAAACATTAATGATGAGAATCACTGATCATCTGCCTCCTGCACACACCCAACTAAGGATCCTGCCCGCAACCCAGACATGTGCCCTTAACTGGAATCGAACATGGGAACTTCAGTCTGCAGGCTGATGCTTTATCCACTGAGCCAAACCAGTTAGGGGCTATACACATTTTTAAATTCTACTTGATTTTTATAAAAGTTAGGTGCATGTGATATTTTGATTAAAAAATTAATACATAACCCTTTTAAAATATATTTTATTGATTGATTTTTTACAGATAGGAGGGGAGAGAGATAGAGAGCTAGAAATGTCGATGAGAGAAACATCGACCAGCTGCCTCTTGTACACCCTCTACCGGGGATGTGTCCACAACCAACGTACATGCCCCTAACCAGAATCGAACCTGGGACCTTTCAGTCCGCAGACCGACGCTCTACCACTGAGCTGAACCGGTTTTGGCAATACGTAACCCTTTTAAATATAAAACATATGCCAAAACCGGTTTGGCTCAGTGGATAGAGCGTCAGCTTGGGGACTGAAGGGTCCCTGGTTCGATTCCGGTCAAGGGCATGTACCTTGGTTGCGGCCACATCCCCAGTGGGAGGTGTGCAAGAGGCAGCTGATCGATGACTCTCTCATTGATGTTTCTAACTCTCTGTCCCTCTCTCTTCCTCTCTGTGAAAAATCAATAAAATATATTTTTTTAAAATATATAAATGAATAAATAAATAAATATAAAACATAATAATCTTATAAATATAAGCTTCAAAGATTTAAGATCAGAACTAGAAAAAATAAAAAGTACAACAGAAAAAAAAAAACAAGAGAAAAAAGACTCAATTATTCAGGCTAAAGTCCTACGGGTGGTACAGATGAGCCCATAATTTGACTAAGCTTCACAAATGCCAAAATGAAAGAATTCTGATCTTTTTATAGTTTTCCTCATTCATGAAGAGAAAACACAACAATCTCCTAGAAAAGTAAATATCCCCATATTCTGCTCTAAAATAAATTGCTTACAGGGAGTCTGATACTGTTATTATCATCTATAACTAGTACATACCCAAAACAACACCACTGACGCGGCATTTCCCAGTGTGCTCAGGTTCTGGTTCTGTAAGTATAAGATCTTCTACGGCTCCCTCCTGAACAGTAAGCAGTGGTGTATTTAGGATTTCTTTCTGTCAAAAGAGAGTGCAAGTTGAAACAACAGTTAAACGTTCACTACTATCTCTCCTGCTTTCGTGCCTTATTCTCACCTGCATGTTCTGTTTATAGAGTTTCCTATCAATTTGAGCTCTCAGACCCCAAACAGCTGGTCCCTTACGCCGGTTTAATACTTTGTAATGTATACCAGACTGGTCACAGATTCGGGAACACAGGCCATCCAAAGCATCCACTTCCCTCATTAAATGCCCCTTTCCGATACCACCAAAGGAAGGATTACAGGACATCTGACCTAAAGAAACAGACAAAATAAATTTATGAGCACTTCGCAATACGGTAGTGAGTGCAATAGAAAATTGTTTGTACAAGTGGCTAGAATCAGCTCATGTGATAAAAAATAAGAGAGTTGAAACAAACACTAAAAAGAAAATTCCAAAGTCCCAATAGGGCACAATTCAAGCAATCTGGAAGACAAACATTTGCCTGTAGTATCCTTTCAATCTTTTCTTTGATGCATATTTTATTTCATTAGTTTGCCTTTTCCTTTAAAATATGGTTTTTGAAATCTTTACCTCATGAAACCTTTCCAAATCAAGAATACTTTAAAGTAATCTTGGGAGTGGTCCACTGTTATTCAATTATGTCTTCTATAAATGCCATCTCTATTTTCTTTTTTGCAGAAATAATTAAATTATAAGTTTCCTTAAAGTAAAAACCATATTTTATATCTCTTCTTTAAAATTTCCTAGTCTTTTTTTTTTTTTTTAATATTTTATTGATTTTGTACAGAGAGGAAGGGAGAGAGATAGAGAGTTAGAAACATCGATGAGAGAGAGTCATCGATCAGCTGCCTCTTGCACACCCCCTACTGGGGATATGCCCGCAACCAAGGTACATGCCCTTGACCGGAATCGAACCCGGGACCTTTCAGTCCCCAAGCCGACGCTCTGTCCATTGAGCCAAACCAGTCTTGGCAAATTTCCTAGTCTTATTTGGAGGTCTGGATATTGCTACTCATCAAAATGACTTACCTTTATTTTTTTTAAATGATTTGAGAGAGAGAGGAAGGGAGTGAGAGAAAGAGAAACAGAGAGAGGAAGAGAGAGAGTGATAGATATCAATTTGTTGTTCCACTTATTTATGCATTGTGCCCTGTCTGGGAATCAAACACAACCTTAGTGTATCAGGGATGATGCTCTAACCTACTGAGCAACTGGGCCAGGGATAATGATGTAGCTTTTAATATCCATTATATATCAGTTAATTTTACAAAAATTTCTGAACCCCACTAATTTCTGACATTTTCTTAAACTTTGACCCCCGGAAATGAGTCTCCTCCTACACAGAAAAGGGAAAAAACAAAACACTTAAAACATCAAAAATTATTGAAATTCCACTACTTTCTTTTTAAAAAAAATATACGTTTATTGATTTCAGAGAAGAAGGAAGATGTAGAGACAGACTGAAACATCAATGATGAGAGAGAATCATTGATCGGCTGCCTCCTGCATGTCCCACAATGGGGATCAAGCTTGCAACCTGGGCATATGTCCTGATTGGGATGGAACCTTGACCTCCTGTTTCATAGGTTGATGTGCAACCACTGAGCCACAATGGCTTAGCTCCACTACTCTTCTATAGCCCTAAACTAGACAACTTCTAGGCCCTTTATTAAATGAGTGTAACTATATTACAAGCCTATTTATAAAATTTACATTTGTGAAGGTCAAATGCAAAGGAATCCTCATCTTTTTAAACTGCTGAAAACTTTTTCTCAAATATCAATACATGCCTACAAGGAGCTTTTCTCCTTATAGGCATAAAAGTTGAATAAGTCACTCACTCTCTTTTGCTTAGTCCTCAAAATTTTTCACAACAGAGAACTCCAGGAAGCCAGCATTCATTCCCAATCGTTTGGAGTTGGAATAAGATCTAGTGATCATCTGGGCTCTTAAATAGAGGCTACTAACATCCCAAGTGTGGCACCAGTACCTGAGGTGGACAGTGGTAGTAGAAATGTATAAATCAGTAAATTTTTCACTGTACTAAAAAATTTAAGTCAGCTATGTAGAAAAGCTGATGGTAAAACAACAGTTAACAACTGACCACTTAATATGGGCCAGCCATTATCCCAGGAGAGTTGCACGTACACTGAGTGGCCAGATTATTATGATTTCTGAACGTATAATAATCTGGCCACTCAGTGTATACCCTATAAAAGGCTAATATGCAAATTGTCCCCTCCACCAGGAGTTCGACTAGTAGGCAGGCTGGCTAACTGCCCATGTCCCCTTCTCCTGGCCAGGCTGGCTGGACCCCACCCATGCACGAATTCAAGCACCGGGAATTATATATTAAAGGCCCAGTGCATGAATTAGGACACACCTGAAGAGTCCCAGGATCGATTCTGGTCACTGGAACATGCCTGTTTGCAGGTGGATGTGCAGGAAGCAGGCAATCAATGATTCTCTCTCATCATTGATGTTTGTATCTCTCTTTCCCTCTCCCTTCCTCTCTGAAATCAATAAAGATATATATATATATATATATATATATATATATATATATATATATAGAGAGAGAGAGAGAGAGAGAGAGAGAGAGAGAGAGAGAGAGAGAGGGGGGGGGGGAGGGAGGGAGATTAGGCATAGCCGATTTAGCTCTGTGCATTAGAGAATTGGCCTGTGGACTCATGGGTTCTGGGTTCCATTCTGATCAAGAGCATGTACCTCAGTGGAAGGCTCTATCCCCCGCCCTGGTCAGGGCAGGCACGGGAGGGAACCAGTCACAAAACGAGGGAACAAACATCCAGCAGAAACATAGAATGCAACAAAAGGTAGCATCCTTCTTCAAAACAAAGTTTTGAGAAAAAAACACAGCGATCATTTGTAAACGATCACTAATAATGTTAATTCCCTCTTTAGCCAAAGCAACAAGCTAGTAAAGGCTAAAGGGCAATGAAATCAGAAGCTATCAGCTAAGTAGAATATTCTGTTTCCCCCTTTCCGAAGGCACCGCCCCCCACATCCTGCAAGCTACTGTTTCTGTCGGCGGCAGCACAACCCGCGGTCCCGGCAGAGCCTAAGCCAGAGTCCTGACCCGGCCCCGATTCCGCGAGACACGTCGGGCCCAAACCACTGACCCCAGGATTCCCACCAGCCTCGGGGGAGGGAACAGGGGGCCACAGCAGGCACTGGGAGGGGGAGAGGGGGACTGATTATTCGCAACCCGCGTCCCACGCCAAGCTCCACAGCGGCTGCCGCTCACCGATCGTGTCCACCCGGTGCGTGAGGAGCAGAGTCCGGGAGCCGCACCGCGCGGCCGCCGCGGCCGCCTCCGTGCCCGCGTGCCCGCCGCCCACCACCACCACGTCGTAGCGCGGGGTCCCGGGCGCAGCGCTAGCGCTGTCGCCGCTGAGCCGGGCCGGCGGCGGGACGTGCTGTTTGGCGAGGGAGGCGGCGACCCAGCGCCCGCAGCCTCGGAGAGAGAACATGGCTGGAGGCGGCAGAGCCCGCCTGACTCCACACCAGACTCGAGCAACGCGCAACGGTAAAGGGTAAAGGGCACCGGAGGGAATCTTCAGGGCGCAGCCGCCTTGCTCTGACGTCACGGCGCAGCGCGTCTCCGTCCAGCGTCGCCGCTGATTGGCGGTTGACGCGACTCGACTGGACCGGCTCCCAGACACTGGTGGTGCGTGGGCCGCGCACCTGGGTCGTGGGCCGGGCAGGTTGTTTGACGTCCCCGTGGCTCTACAGTCAGAGACTTTGATTTATTGTTGCGTTTCTTTAGGCTCTCATTGATACTTTCTTTCTTTTTAAAAATATATATATCTTATTGATTTTTTTACAGAGAGGAAGAGAGAGGGATAGAGGGTTAGAAACATCGATGAGAGAGAATCATGGATCAGCTGCCTCTTGCACACCTCCTCCTGGGGATGTGCCCGCAACCAAGGTACATGCCCTTGACTGGAATTGAACCTGGGACCTTTCAGTCCACAGACCAACGCTCTATCCACTGAGCCAAACCTGTTTCAGCTGATACTTTCTTTTTTTTTTTTATAAAATATATTTTATTGATTTTGTACAGAGAAGAAGGGAGAGAGATAGAGAGCTAGAAACATCGATGAGAGAGAGTCATCGATCAGTTGCCTCTTGCACACCCCCCACTGGGGACATGCCCGCAACCAAGGTACATGCCCTTGACCGGAATCGAACCCGGGTCCCCTCAGTCCCCAAGCCGACGCTCTATCCATTGAGCCAAACCGGTCCCGGCCAGCTGATACTTTCTTAAATGTGCCCTGACTAAGATGACCAGAATTTAACATTGGTTAAGCCAGACACCATTGACGGGTGTGGGGGGTGGTTGTGGGGGTCGGGGTTCTTAATTAAAAATTTGGTCTATATGGAGCAACAAAAATATTCATAGAACGCAAAAATATATTTTTAAATTTCAACGTAAGTACAATTTATAAATATAATAAATAAAAAACTATGTATAGTATTATTTTATCCTTTGGCATAGTTCTCATTTGAGTGATTTTTTTTTTTTAGTAGATTGTTGTCGTTGTTTAAAAGGTCATGAAATTTTTCACAAGAATTTGAAATATAATTAAATTATATTTCACACATAAAATGGCTTTCAAAGTCTCAACACTTAATTGTGATTTTTCTGATGTCCACACTTTATTTACCGTAGAAAAAATGCGTTCATTCGCAGCATTAGTTCCTGGTAAGGACAGCGTGTATTCCACAGTTCGAACAACTGATCAACAATGTGCACTTTCATAAGCAGTTCTCAATAATCAGTTCTCAACAATTATTTGTTATTATTGAAGTTTAACATTATAAAATTAACAAAAACAATATAAAACTCATATCCTAGCTAAATAGCCACATGACTGCCGAAAACCGTATATTCCTTCCCGTTCTCCTGCCGTTCCCTAGCTTGTCGTGCATTCTTTCCAAAAATCGGGACTTTTTTAAAACGCCGCTGAAAATCGGGACTGTCCCTCTAGTCACCTTAGCCCTGACTGAAGGTGGAACCTGCACCTAGGTGTATGGAGAGAATGCTCCAAGCAACTGAGTTACCCAGCCAGGGCCTTATTCCTCCCCCCCCTTCCCCTTTTCAATTCAGCTTATCATCTTCTAGTATATGTTTATTGGCTGTTTCTCCAAGCCAAAATATAAGCTTCAGGAGGGCAAGGATCTTTGTTTATTTATCAATATATTCCAAGAGCCTAGAATAGTAGACACTCATGTATTTCATTAGTGACTAAATGAATTACTGAGACAAACATGAAACATTAAAGGATAAGATGTAAATCAAGTAGGGCCCTAGCCGGTTTAGCCTGTGGACCTGAGGGTCCCAGGTTCCATTCCAGTGGAGGGCACTATCTCGGTTGCAGGTTCCTCCCCATCCCCAGATGCTGGTCAGGGCGAGTCTGGGAGGCAACTAATTTATGTGTTTCCCTCACAATGGTATTTCTCTCTCTTCCATTCTCTCTATAAATCAACAACAAAAAATGAATCTCTGGTATTATTTTTCCTCTAGATAAAGTCCAAGATTCATATCAAGACAACTGAAAAGTCATTCCCTCTATGATCTGGACACTGGTTGCTGCAACAAGATTGAGCAAGGAACAAGTTCTCCTTTGACAAGTCAGCAGTAGAGGTATTTAACTCTGGTCTGGTGGATTGTTGCTTGCATGTTTTTTGGTTAAGCAAACACCAGTGGACTCTTAAGAACTTAAGAAATGGTTGGAAATCAGCATTAAGCTATCTGCAGAGTTATTGACTGAGATCCATGACAAGCAACTGGAGTGCTTGGAGGAGAAAAATAGAACCATAGAGCAGATGTCCTGGGAATGGAGTAGGCAGACCCCTGGGCATCCTGGAAGACTGCCCAAATATACTTCCAGTTTTAAGGAAGTGGATTTCCAAATTTCAGCTTCTAGTTTATTCTTCCCTAAAATTGGTCAGCTTGCTAACAAGCCTATCCACCCAACAGTCCTTCCATTTTACAAAGGAAAAATAAATGGATAAAACTTATGAATAAACATCTTTCATATTACAATTCTAACTAGGGCTCACTGCCCTAGGGTGTAAGAAAACCACTTGTACTAAAGAGAAGGATATATCACAGTACTGGATTCAGGGAATCCTCTTAAAAATTTAATCCATTGGCAGATGAATGAATAAATAAAATGTAGTATATACATAGAATGGAATTATTCAGCCTTAAAAAGGAAGGCTGACATAAGCAACAGCATGGATAAACCCTGAGGACATTATCTTAATTGAAATAAACCAGCCATTAAACCATAAAGACAGTGTGATTCCACTTCCATGAGGTACCTAGAATAGTCAAATTTATAGAAAAAAGGTAGAAGGGTGTTTGCCAGGGCTGGTGAGAGGGGGTGATGGGGTGTTATTGTTTAATGGGTACAGAGTTTCAGTTTTCCAAGATGAACAGTTCTGGAGATGGATGGTAGCGGTATTTCATGTCACTGAACTGTACACTTGAAAATGGTTTTAAAGAAGTAATCAAGTCTTTTTATACCCAAGGGGTTCCTGTCTCATATGTATTTATATGAAGGGATTGGATTTAGAAATGTACTTTTGAGATACTACATTGAATGAGATACTCTGGAAGTTGAACAGCCAAAGCAGTATGGATTATTTAAAATATGCAGTTTTTTTTAATGGGTTGTTAAGAACCAACGGATAAAACTCATGAATAAGAACTTCACACAATTTCTTTAAGATTGTGTGTCCTTTTAAAGAGTCAGAAAGGCTCTCTGCTCCTCCTGTTCATCAGCCTCTCCTCCTGCGCAGTGCCAGCCGCAACCCAGAGACACAATGATGAAGGTCAGCGTGAATGGATTTGGCTGTATTTGGGGCCTGGTAGCCAGGGCTGCTTTTAACTCTGGCAAAGGGGATACTGCTGCCATCAATGACCCCTTCATTGACCTCAACTACATGGTCTACATGTTCCAGTATGATTCTACTCATCGTAAGTTCAAAGGCTGAGAACTGTAAGCTTGTTATCCATCTTCATTTTCTAGGAGTGAGATCCCTCCAAGATCCAAATGGTTGGTGCTGGTGCTGAATTTGTTGTGGTGTCTGCTAGTATGTTCACTACCTTAGAGAAGGCTGGGGCTCACTTCAACTGTGGAGTCAAGAGGGCCATCGTCTCAGTCCCTTCTGTGGGTGCTGCCGTGCTTGTGAAGGGGAAGGAACCATGACAAGTGTGACAATGGCCTCAAGATTGTCACAGTGCTTCCTGCCCCACCAACTGCCAAGGCCATCATGGCAACTTTGGCATCGTAGAGAGACTCATGACCACAGTCCATGCCATCACTGCCACCCAGAACACCAGGGATGGCCCCTCTGGGAAGCCGTGGTGTGATAGCCGAGGGGCTGCCCAGAACATCCTCCCTGCTTCTACTGGTGCTGCCAAGGCTGTGGGTAAGGGAATTCATGAACTGCGTGGTAAGCTCACTGTCATGGCCTTCTCTGCCCCCACCCCAATGTGTCGGTTGTGGATCTGACCTGCCACCTGGAGAAAGCTGCTAAATGTGATGACATCAAGCATAGAGTGAAACAGAGGGGCCCCTCAAGGGCATCCTGGTGATACTGAGGACCAGGTTGTCTCCTGGGACTTTAACAGTGACACCTACTCCTCCATCTTTGATGCTGGGGCTAGCATTGCTCTCAACGACCACTTTGTCAAGCTCGTTTCCTGGTATGACACTGAATTTGGCTTCAGCAACAAGTTGGCAGACCTAATGGCCCACGTGGCCTCCAACAAGGAGTTAGAGCCCCCCCGGACCACCGCCTCAACCAGAGGAAGAGAGACCCTCAGCTGCTGGGGAGTCCCTGCCCCAAAACAGATCCCCAACACGCTTAGAATCTCCTGACTTTCACAGTTTCCTTCTCAGACCCGTGAAGAAGGGGCGGGGCTTAGGGAGCCCTACTTTGTCATGCACCATCAAAAAGTTCACTGCAGCCAGCCAAAAAAGAATCAATTAAAAATAAATATTTATTACAATTACAGTAATCATAATCTCAGCCGTGTAAAAGACGAACATTTACTATTTCACATTAATTTTAAAAAGTACCCTTACTTAAACTTACGTTGAAAAAAATTTGTCAGCTTCAATGGGCGAGAAAGCTTGTAGTTTCCCACAATTCTTTTAGGTGGCTTGCCAGCAAAAGCGTGGGGCTGTCAGTACTGCTCAGGTTAGCACTGGAGCGGACGTGAGCATCTCTGCAGGACCGCGGGCCGCCCGGGGGCGGCGGGGCGTGGCTCCAGGGTGCCCTCCCGCGTGGGGTCATATTTCCTGCGCGTGCTCCCTGACCGCGGCGCTGCCTTCCCGCCAGACTTCAAGTTCTAAGTTTCATTTCCGTAACCAGCCGCGACTGCAGGTTCCTCTAACTGCGGCCTTTCCCGCGAAGCTCAGTCAACTTTCCAGCAGCAGCAGAGCGCCAGCCATGGATCCTCGGAGCGGAAAGGCGACGCGGATAGCTTCCAAGATTTCAGCGCAGAGCGCGAACGGCGCCCCGGCGAAGCCCACCCCGGCGAAGCCCACCCCGGCGAAGCCCACCCCGGCGAAGCGCACCCCGGCGAAGCGCATCCCGGCGAAGCCCATCGAGCGTCCCGTTGTACCCGAAGCTGCCCAGCCCAATGAGCAGGAATGCAGCTCCACCGGAGCGTCGGGAAACCAGCAGAAGAAGAGCGCCCCGGGCTCCCGGGAGAGACCACAGGGACGAGCGCGGGGTGCGCGCTCCGAGAAGGCCCCGCTGAGCAGTGAGGACACAGTCGACGGGCACACGGAGCCGGCCGCGGCTCCCGGGCCGCCCCTTCCCAGGGCTGGATCTCGCCCAAAAGGCGGTGCGTGCGCCAAGAAGGCGCCTCTGAGCGCCCAGGTTGCCTTGGATGGGCAGGCGGGCCTGGCCCAGGAGCTGGACTCGCCCCTTCCTAGAGCTGGATCTCGCCGAAAAGGGGGTGCATGCGCCAAGAAGGCCCCGCTGAGCAGTGAGGACACGGTCGACGGGCACACGGAACTGGCCGTGGCTCCCGAGCCGCCCCCTCCCAGGGCTGGATCTCGCCGAAAAGGGGGTGCATGCGCCAAGAAGGTTTTGCTGAGCAGTGAGGACACGGTCGACGGGCACATGGAGCTGGCCGCGGCTCTCGAGCCGCCCCCTCCCAGGGCTGGATCTCGCCGAAAAGGGGGTGCGCGCTCCCAGAAGGAGCCTCTGAGCGCCGAGGACATCTTGAACGGACAGGCCATTCTGGCCGAGGGGCCAGAGCCTCCCGCAGCCCCGGAGTCGCCCCTTCCCAGGGCTGGATCCGCGCGCTCCGCTGGCGAGCGGAGACCTCCGTCCAGACCAGCGGAGGACGCCGGCCAGGACCCGCCGGCTGCAGCCTCTAGTCGGGGCGGGCGGGAGGCCGTGCTTGGCGCCTACAAGCTCGGGGCGGTGGTGGAGAAGTTGAAGCTACGCCGCGCAGAAATCTCAGAAGCCGCGAGTGTTGTAAACCGGCTCGAGGACCACCTGCTACGAGGACTGAAGAGCGGCCAGTCGGAGTTTAAAGGTGTCGAGGTGCTACACACTGGGAGCTACTACGAGCAAGTGAAGGTGAGCTGCCCTAGGCGCGCGGCCCGCGTCCTCTCCCCTCCCCTAACCTCCCATAGTCCCCGTCTCCTAAGGTTCCTCACCTTCCTTCGGAGGAAACTCAGACCAGTTCTTAGGTTCTAGTTAAAACGACGAACCGAACCTCTATTGATTGCTAGCCACTGTGAAGACACCATTTTTGGGGGAATTCAAATGTAAAGCAGACCTGCATTGTGTTTCTCCAACAGTGCTATGCTTGGTAGTTTCTTTCTTTTTTATAAAGTTTTAAAATGTATTTTATTAATTTTTTACAGAGGGGAAGAGAGAGGGATAGAGAGTTAGAAACATCGATGAGAGAGAATCATGGATCAGTTGCCTCTTGCACACTGTCTACTGGGGATGTGCCCGCAACCAAGGTACATGCCCTTGACCAGAATTGAACCTGGGACCTTTCAGTCTGCAGGACGATGCTTTATCCACTGAGCCAAACCGGTTTCAGCTATACTTGATAGTTTCTGGTCAGGTTATGACTTGGATGATTAGGAGTGTGATCTGCGAAATGTCCACAAAACTTATGTATCTAAGAAACTTTTTTTTCTTTGAGGATGTCTGTACTGCAAAGGAAAAATATTTTCCGTCTCTCCTTCCAGCCCCTGCGGACCTACTCTTTCTCTCAACTTCTTATTCAGATGTTATGGGGAGCTCCCAGTGAATGATGTGAAAAATAAATTAAGAGAAAAGTCTCCTACAAATACTAAAAAACATTCTTCCTAAATACACATCAGATGTAACTTTTTAAAATATATATATTTTATTGATTTTTAACAGAGAGGAAGGGAGTTGGATAGAGAACTAGAAACATCGACCAGCTGCTTCCTGCACACCCCCTACTGGGGATATGCCTGCAACCAATGTACATGTCCTTGACTGGAATTGAACCAGGGACCTTTCAGTCCGCAGACCTACGCTCTATCCACTGAACCAAACCGGCTTCGGCCAGATGTAACTGTTTTTAAGGGTGTACTCCACAGCTCCATTTGTCTGTGGGTGGTCGTCATTAAAACCATCATTCCATTTTAGGAGCAGGTTTCTGACTAGGGTTTGTTTCCTGATCAGCGGCAGTGATGAAAGTGTCTTATTCTTGATCTTAAGGAAAATGTTTTTAGCTTTCCCCTGTTGAGTCTGATGTTAGCTGTGTGTTTGTCATATGTGGGCTTTTATTTAGTTGAGGTATGTTCCCTTTATTCTCAGTTTATTGAGTTTTATCATAAATGAATGCTGTATTTTGTCAAATGCATTTCTGCCTTTTTTTTTTTTTTTTTTTTTTTTTTTTTTTACTCTCACACATTTACTCTTCCAAATGAATTTTAGAGCCTGTAACATTCAAAAAAATATCCCAAATCACAGGAACAGCATGAACGAACAGGCTGGATGGAGAGAGCCAGAATTTATACGGGAAACTGGTGTCATTTGGGTCAACTTACAGAATGCTGCTAGTAGGCCTTCCACGGACACACTTAGATTTTATAGGTCGGCCCTCCTATCGTCTACAAAGGACAACTGCCACTTTCTCTTCTCCGTCGTCTGCCCGCTGCAGGCTCAGCTGGGCCAGGACTTCCCCAAGTAACGGGGAGCCCTCGGCTAGTTTCTGGCTTGAACCGGATTGCCTGGAGTCGGCCCCTTTAGGATGTCATAACCTGTTGGTTTCTCAGAGAGACCTTTACCCAGATGAACCCGTCTCTTTCTAATTTTAAAGAGTTTTAATAAGGGATAGATTGTAAATTCTGCCAAATGTCGTTTCAGCATCTATAGAGACTATCACCAAAGGTTCTCTATTGATGGAAGCTGAGAAGAAGGCTGGTGAGCAGCCGCAGTGCCCCACTCACATGTCCTTAGTCCCTGGGCCAGGACCCGAATTCTTCCGGAAACGCCCGGGGAGGCTGTGAGGCCGCCTTCGCTTGCCCAGGCACAGGGCATCCTGAAGATGTGCCAGGTCACACCTCCCCCATGGCTGGAAGGGGCTGGCGGGGACCGTGGTTTGCAGAGGACAGGAACCAGAGAGGAGTCTGCAGGGGGGAGGGCCCCACACCCTTGCTACCTTCCCCCAGATCACACGCAGACCAGGCACCCAGTCTGAGCTGGGGATTCTGCACCCGAAGTGTCCTGACCGCTGGCCACGTCGGCCTCCGGGGTGTCCTTCCGCCACGCTGCAGCCCCTCACCAGGGCGTGCAGGCCAGGGAGCACTCCGAGTGGAGCCCTCACAGGAAGTGGCGAGTCCTTCTGCTCCTCCACCTGCTGCCAGCTCCAGCTCCGGGCCCCCATTCCTTCCTCGCGGCACCCCTCTTCTCCTGCTCGTCACCCCGGGACACAGTCCTACACGAACACAGGGTCCCCTAGGATATGGCCATATAGTTTTTATCCTTCATTTTGCTTTTCACGTGGTGTATCATAATAATTGATTTGCAGATATTACACCAACCTTGCATCTCAGGACTAAATATCACTTGATTATTCTGTATGCTCTTTTTAATATATTGCTGAATTTGGTTGGCTAATATATATATTTAAATATATTTTTATTGATTTCAGAGAGGAAGGGAGAGGGAGAGAGAAACATCAATGATGAGAGAATCATTGATTGTCTGCCTCCTGCCCCCCCCCCCCCCCCTTACTGGGGATCTAGCCTACAATCCAGGCATTTGCCCTTGACCTGAATCGAACCTGGGACCCTTCAGTCCATAGGATGACTCTATTCACTGAGCCAAACTGACTAGGGCTGGTTTGCTAATATTTTGTTGAGGATTTTTACATCTATGCTCATCAGGGATATTGTGTGTGCGATGTTCTTGTCTGTTTTGGGAATGAAGGTAATGGTTACCTCATAAAATGAGCTTGGGAGCCTTCCTTCCTCTTGAATTTTTTTGAATAGTTTGATAGGATAGGTGTTAATTCTTCTTTCAATGTTTGGTAACATTCACCTGTGAAGCCATAGGTACGGGACTTTTATTTGTTGGCAGCTTTTTGAGTACTGGTTTGATTTTGTTGGTACTAATTGGTCTCTGCATATTTTCAATTTCTTGATTTAGTCTTGGAAGATTCTTTGTTTCTAGGTATTTATGCATTTCTTCAAAATGATCCAATTTGTTGGCATATACTTGTTTGTGGTATTTTCTTACAGTCCTTTTTTTTTATGATGTCAGTTTTCACTTCTCTTTTGTTTTTTGTTTTTATTTTATTCACATGGGTCCTTTTTTCCCCCCTTCTTTTAAAAAAGATACCTTTTTACTGACTTCAGAGAGGGGGGGGATAGGAACATCAATCTTGATTGGTTGCCTCCTGCATGCTCCCTACTAGGGATGGAGCCTATAACTGGGGCATATTTCCTAACCAGGAATCCAACCTCAACCTCCTGGTTCATGGGTTATAGCTCAACTACTGGGCTTACCAGCTGGGCTTACTTTTTTTCTTGATGAGTTTGGTTAAAGGTTTAGCCATCTTGTTTATCTTTTTAAAGAACCTGCTCTTGGTTTCAGTGATCCTTTATATTGTTTATTTTTTAGACTATACTTTGTTTATTGCCACTCTGATCTTTAGTATTTCCTTCCTTCAATTCACTTGGACTGTTTGTTGTTATTTTTCTAGTTTCTTTAGGTGTGTAAGGTTAGATTGTTTATTTGAGATTTTTTTTGTTTCTTGAGATAGGCCTATATTGCTATGAATTTCCCTCTTAGGACTGAATTTGCTGTATCCCATAGATTTTGGGTCATTTGGGTCATTGTGGTTTCTTCCTTGATCTCATTGTTTGTTTGTTTTTTAATTTATTTTTTTAATTAAGATATTATATGTGTACATACCTTACCACTTGATCTCATTGTTAACTATTCATTGTTCAGTAGCATGTTATTTAACCTCCATGTGTTTGTGTGTTTTTCAATTTTTTTCTTAATAGTTTGTATCTAGTTTCATACCTTTGTGGTTGGAGAAGATGCTTGATAGCATCTTTTTCAATCTTTTAAAATTTATTGTTACTGTTGCATGGCCTAATATGTGGTCTATCCTAGGAAATGTTCCAAATGCACATGAAAAAATGTATATTCTGCTGCTTTGGGGTGAAATGCTCTGAATATATCAATTAAATCCATCTGGTCTAATGTGTCAAGTAAGGCTGCTGTTTTCTTGTTTATTTCTGTCTGAAAGATTTAATTTATAGTCCCCAGTGTTCTCACTGTGTTCTTTGGTGTATGTAAACAGAGAAAATGCAATATTTTTCTCTTCCTCTTCTTACAAAGTCACTAATCCTGTAAGATTAGAACCACACCCTCATGATCACATTTAACCTTAATTACTTCCTGAAAGTCCTGTTTTCAAGTACAGACACATTGGGGATTAGGGCTTCAATATCTAAATTTTTGGGAGGACAGTTAAGTACACAGCACAATACATCTAAGTTTGGACTAGACACATTTCATGTGGTCAGTAGACATATGGCTGCTAAGTGCCATGTTGAACAGTGCAGTCCAATAGCTGTACCTGAAGCTTATCCTAAGTAGGGAAAGACTTGTGGCATTTTTAATATAGTAAAAACAAGCATTTATTATAATTGCTTTAGTTATTGTGAGATTGGAAAAGGTTCTTTGAAGTTTCTACAAATGCTTCTAAGACACTATTATTGTACGTGACTTGGAGCTCACACTCACTTGGGTGACCAGTAGATATGAGATAGCCCTTGTGCAAGTAGCCAGTAGGTGAATACACACATTTTTGACATCACACAATGATCTCAAAATTGTAACAGGAGGGTGGCTGCAGTGTCTCTTGTGATGTGAAAGGTAGATCCTTGCAGGTCTTTAATTTTATTAAGCTTTAAACTTAGAGTAAACCTGGTACAGATTTTAAAAGCTTACATGATATCTTTTTGTTGTTGTTAATGCTCGCTCACCAGTGGATATTTTTTCATTGAATTTTAGGGAGAGTAGAAGAAAGAGGGAAAGTCAGAGAGACATATCAAAGTGAGACAAACACATCAAGGTTGCCTCCTGTATGAAGCTTGACCAGAGCCCGGGCCTGGTGGGAGCCTGCAACTGTGGTATGTGCCCTTGACTGAAATCGAGCCTAGGACCCTTTGGTCCACAGGCTAATGCTCAGCCAATGAGTCAAACTGGCCAGGGCACATGATATCATTTAAATTTCTTTTAAGCCTGGCCAGCATGGCTCAGTGGTTGAGCATTGATCTATGAACCAGGAGGTCTCGGTTGGATTTCCAGTCAGGGCAAATGCCCAAGTTGTGGGTTCTATTCCCAGTGTGGGGTGGCAAGGAAGCAGCTGATGAATGATTCTATCTCATCACTGATGTTTCTCTCTCTTCTTCCCTCTCTGAAATCAATAAAATATATTGAAAAATAAAATAAAATTAATATAATAAGCTCTGGCCAGTGTGGCTTGGTTGAGTGTTGTCCCGTGCACCAAAAGGTTGCCAGTTCCATATTTCGTCCAGACATACTAGTATGCCCAAATTGTCGGCTTGAACCCTGGTAGGGGGTGTACTGGCTGCAGCCAATCATGCTTCATGCTCACATGAATATTTCTCTCTCCCTAAAAAGAAATCAATTAAATAATATTTTTTAAATTAATAAAAGTGTCTTAAAGTATAGAAATCCCATATACATATTATGGTTAAAAAATGAGTATAGAACCTACAAACTAAAGCCAACACTTTCCCAACTCCACTGGACCTATTAGGAGTCTTGTTTTTAAAAATAAGGTTTTAAGAGGAAATCTTAAGAAAAAAATTGCAATTGCTTGGAAAATATTCACAAGCAAACATTTCACTGCTGTTTTTACTTTTTCTTAGGTTTCTGCTCCTAATGAATTTGATATTATGTTTACACTGGATGTCCCCAGAATTCAGCTAGAAGAATATCGCGACAGTGGTGCTCATTACTTTATGAAGTTCAAAAGAAACCCCAAAGGAAATCCTCTGAATCAGTTTTTAGAAGGGGAAATATTATCAGCTTCTAAGATGCTGTCCAAGTTTAGGGAACTCATTAAAAAAGAAATTAAAAACATTGAAGGTAAGATTTTTGAGTGAGTTTTGATCCTTGAAGGTCTAATCATACCTACTAATTGCCTATGTATATTGCTCTCCTAATCTTTCTTGACCTCGCTATAGCACACTATTGACCACTACCTCCCAGAAACAACTCTTTGCACTTGATGTTATCCTACTTCATTTTCTTGGTATTCTTTTAAAATGTTGATTGGATCTATTTTTTGGTCTCCATTGAATATGCACTTGAATACGTTTTTATTGATTTTTTGAGAGAGAGGAAGGGAGAAAGGTAAAGAGATAGAAACATCCCTGGGAGAGAAACATCATCATTTGGCTGCCTCCTGCACATGTCATGATTGGGACTCAAACTGGTGACCCATACTGGCTGGGATAGGTTTGTATTTTTAAGTGTTTACTCTGGCTTCTTTGGAGAAGATATTATAAGGAAGCAAGTGAGAAGATTAGAAAGGAAAATATTTTAATAGTTCAAATGAAAAGGTGGGGGTGAAATGGGGTGCTAGGATGGAGAGAAGCAGACACATCCAAACTGCAGCAGTGCTTGCTTCTGGATTAAGTATGGGGATGAGAAAGAGGATGGAATTGAAGTAGGCTCCCAGGTTTCTGGATTAAGCACCTGTGTAGATTGTGCCATTTACTAAAATTGGAAGAACAAAAAGGAACGCTTTGGGGAATGAATGAGGAGTTTGGCTTTGGATATCTTAAGTTAGATATCCCTGTGATATGTTAAAGTGAATGTGTCAAGTAGTTGGATGTGTGTTTGGAGTTCAGAGGATACATTTGGGGTACATGTCAACATATATGTGGTTCCTTTGACAGAGTGTAGATGAACTTATTCATTAATTTAATCAATATTCGTTTATTATCTAATGTGACAGATGGTCTAGATATTTGGGATATGTTAAGGAACAAATAGATGAAGACTCTCACTCTTCTGTACCTTATAATTATGTAAGAGCAGATATGCAATTAATGACAAATGGAAAACACAATTATCATGTATACTAGAGAGTAGTAAGTTCTATGGGGAAAAGGCTAGCAAAATGAGAGGGATCTGGAGATTTAGGAATAGGAAGGGGGAAATTATAATGTTAAGTAGAGTGGTTAAGAAGAGGATCCCATTAGAAGTTGGGGAGAAGAGAAGGAATGAAAGGAGATTGAGTAGTTTTACAGGAGCAGTGGTCAGTGTTTAGAATGCTGCTGACGTCCAGAAAACCGTTGGATTTGGTCTGTGGTTTTGTGAGGATTATTGTTAACCAATTTAGTAGTTGACAGATTATGAACACACAAGAAAAAAAGGGGGCAGGGGTGCAGTAGAGACAGCATGTGTAGGTAACTCTAGAAAGTTTTGTCTGCAAAGGAAGTAGAAATACGGGTAAGGCCGAAACCGGTTTGGCTCAATGGATATGTGCATTGGTTGCAGGCACATCCCCAGTAGGGGTTGTGCAAGAGGCAGCTGATCAATGATTCCCTCTCATCAATGTTTCTAACTCTCTATCCCTTTCTCTTTCTCTTTGTAAAAAAATCAATAAAATATATATTTTTTAAAAAGAAATATGGGTAAGTAGGAGGAAGCAATATAGCACTAAAAGAGAGGTATGTTTTAGAATGAAGGACACTGGAACCCTTTGTATGTGGAGAGGAGTGATCAGGCAGGGAGGGTAGTCCACGGATGCAAGAGAGGGAACAACTGAAGGAGCGAGGTCTTGAGCAAGAGAGGATCCAGAGGCAGGTCCAGGGGTGGCCTTGGAAAAGTGAATGGATATTTCCTCAGTGGTACTAAGAGGAAGAAGGATAACCTGGGTAGGAGTGGGGGAGGTTTGCAGATTTGATGATAAGAAAATGAGAGTGTTCTTTAGGATTTTCTCCTTGGTGTTCTTTCTCACTGTGGGCCCTTCCAGAAGTCTTATCTGGGAGTAGTCTTTACTGTTTGTACCCCTCTAAATCCCAAAGCCAGTACTCTCACGTGGAAGTCTTTCCCAAATTTCTGACCACCATAGCTACTTTCCCAGTGGCCATCTTCACTTGGGTATCCTATAGGCACCTAGTGTTCAGCGTGTCTAAAATGAAGTTCATTTCAGCTCAACCCTTCTTCCTCCTGCTTACTCTGTATCAGCGGTCGCCAACCTTTCGGACCTCATAGAGACCACAGCGGTCAACTGGCGACGGCCAGTGTGGTGGTGGTAATGACAATCGTCATGCTGTACATTAGACGTCTGGACTCACTCTACCTAACTGCAACTTTGTTCCCTGTGACCAACATCTCCCATTTCCCCCACCTCTGGTAACCACCATTCTACTCTGTGGCTTCTGCTGTTTTATTTTATTTTATTTAAAAAAAAATTTTTATTGATTTTTTGCAGAGAGGAAGGAAGAGGGATAGAGAGCTAGAAACACTGATGACATTGAAACATGGACTAGCTGCCTCCTATATACCCCCTTTCAAGGATGTGCCCTCAACCAAGGTACATGCCCTTGACTGGAATTGAACCACAGACCGACGCTCTATCCACTGAGCCAAACCGGTTTTGATGGCTTCTGCTTTTTTAGATTTCACTTAGAAGTGAGGTCATGCAGCATTTGCCTTCCTGTATCTGGCTTATTTTCTCCAGGTTCACCCATGTTGTCACAAATGACAGGATTTCTTTCTTTGTTAAGATTAATATTTCACGCATATACAGATATACCTCATTTTATTTCACTTCAGTTCATTTCACTTCACAGATGATGCATTTTTTACAAATTGAAGGTTTGTGGCAGCCCTGTATTGAGCAAGTCTATTGGTGCTATTTTTTTCCAACATGCTCAGATGGTGCTTCAGCATTTTTTAGCAATAAAGTATTTTTTAATTAAGGTATGTACATTGTTTTCTTAGACATAATGCAAGTGCACATTTAATAGACTACAATACAACATAACTTTTGTATTCACTAGGATACCAAACAATTTGTGTGACCTGTTTTACTGCAATATTCACTTTTTAATTACAGTGGTCTGGGACTGAAGCCACAATATCTCCAAGATGTGCCTGTGCATACCACAATTTCTTTTTTAAATATATTTTTATTGATTCCAGAGAGGAAGGGAGAGGGAGAGAGAATCATTGATTGGCTGCCTCCTTCACAACCTGGGCATGTGCCCTTGACAGGAATTGAACCCAGGACCTTCAGTCCACAGGCTGACACTCTATCCACTGAGCCAAACCAGCTAGGGCCATATTACAATTTTTAAAAAAATATATATTTTATTGATTTTTTTTACAGAGAGGAAGGGAGAGGCACAGAGAGTTAGAAACATCGATGTGAGAGAGAGAGAGATATCGATAAGCTGCCTCCTGCACACCCCCTACTGGGATGTGCCCGCAAACAAGGTACATGCCCTTGACCAGAATTGAACCTGGGACCTTTCAGTCCAAAGGCCAATGTTCTATCCACTGAGCCAAACTGGTTTCGGCCATACCACAATTTTTTTTATCCACTCATCTGTCAATGGATTCTGAGGTTGTTTCCATATATTGGAAATTGGATATATGGATTGCTATTGCCCTCTTTTCCAGGCTTCCCTCCAAACTGCCATTCATCAACTTAAATGAAAATCTAACCAAAGCACTCCCAAACCCAATTTTCAGGGACTCCCCATCATCATGCTAGACAGATTTTGACAGTACCGTCCCACCATAATACATATCAATGAATATTGGCTAAATAAGTAAAAACATTTTGTGTTGTGGGGTCAGTTTCTGCTTTAGAACTTATTTCCAACTTAATACTCTATAGATATCCAACAATAGTTATGCTATTTTTTCCTATATTTTCAAGAAAATTAGATTGCTAAACACTTTTTTTCCTTTTACATGTTTAAACAGATATGGATATCATTATGGAGAAGAAGAAGAAGGGGTGTCCTGCTGTAACACTTCTTATTAAAACACCCAAAGAAATATCTGTGGATATAATCTTGGCTTTGAAAGTAAAAAGCAGCTGGCCACGTAGTACCCAGGACGGCATGCCCATTGAAAACTGGCTTGGAGGAAAAGTTAAGAAAAGTCTAAAACTACAGCCATTTTACCTGGTACCTAAGCCTGCAAAGGAAGGAAATGTTTTTCAAGGTATCTTAAATGTGAAGGTTAATTTAAGAACATACAAAAGAACTGTTAATGTTATATACAAGGGCAGTAAAAGATTGATGACTGCTGTTGGCATTTTAAGAGTCATCAGTTTGGTGAGTGATGGAATTGAAAATGGCATAATTGTAGAGGTAACATCAAATACTGAGCTTTAAAATGTCTAGTAGACCACATTAAAATGTTACCTCTTTTATTTAAAACACTAGAGTAGGGGTGTCGAACTCAATCAGAGAAGGGGCCAAAATCTAAAATCCAGCCTAAATTGCGGGCCGAATGGTTTACTGAACAGTCATAAACTGTCATTGTGATGGAAACGCAGCGGAGTGCAGTGATGACAGCGTGGTGCGGGCCACATTGCAAGGCCTGGCGGGACGGATTTGGCCCGCGGGCCTTGTGTTTGACACATGTGCACTAGAGGCCCAGTGCATGAAATTCGTGCACGGGTAGGGTCCCTAGACTTGGCCAGTGATCAGGGTTGATTGGGGCCTTCCTTCCCCCAGCTGCCAGCTACCAGCTGCTGGCCAGGGCCTTCTTTTGTTCCACGCCGCCCCCTGATGGTCAGCGCACATCATGTCATAGTGGGCGGTCAAACTCCCAGTAGGTCAAACTCCCGAGGGGACAATTTGCATGTTAGCCTTGTATTATACAGGACATTTTTATTGATTTCAGAGAGTGAAGGAGAGGGAGAGAGAGAGAGAAACATCAGTGATGAGAGAGAATCATTGATTAGCTGCCTCCTGCACATCCACTCCTGGGGAGCAAGCCTGCAATCTGGGCATGTGCCTCGACCAGGGATTGGACTGTGACCGCCTGGTTCGTAGGTTGATGCTCAATCCCTGAGCCACACTAGTCAGGCTTGTTTTTTAATAAAGAAAGCAGTACTGGCCTCAGAGTCAGACTGCTCTCTTGCTCTGGATCCTGAGGCTTCTTGTCTTAACTAACTGTGAGATCGTGGGCTAGTTACCAAACCTCTCGAAACAATACTTTATTCACATTTCCTTAGTTTTTACCCATGTCCTTTTCCTATTCCAGGATCTCATCTAGGACACCACAGTACATTTTGTCATCATGTCTCCTTAGGCTCCTCTTTTTTGTTGTTCTTAATCCTCACCCACAGATTTTGTTTCCCATTGATTTTTAGACAGAGTGAAGGGAGGGAAAGAGAAACATCAATGTGAGAGAGACACATCAATTGATTGCCTCCTGCATGCACCCCAGCCGGTGCCAGGGATTGAACCTTTAACCCAGGTACGTGCCCTTGACTGGGAACTGAACCCATGACTCCTTGGTAAGCAGGCCGACACTCTGACCACTGAGCCACACCCACCAGGGCTCCTCTTGACTTTAACTGTTTCTTAGCATTCCCTTGTTTTGGATGACTTTGACAGTTTTGAGGAATATTAGTTAATTATTTTGTAGGATGTCCCTCATCTGGCATGTGCCTGATGTTTTTCTTATGCCTAGACTGGAGTTCTGGGTTTTGTAGAGGGAGACCAGGGAGCTAAAGTGCCATTTTCATTGCATCATTTTAAGGATACATGCCATGAACATGACTTAGCACTGCTGATGTTGACCTTGATCACCTGGCTGAGGTAGTGCTTGTCAGTTTCTCCACTGTTACTCATTTCCCCCTGTTTATACTGTACTATTTGGAAGGACGTCTCTGTGCACAGCTCACACTTAAGGAGTGGGGAGAGTATTGGCAAGAGCAGAGTATTTACTCCAGCTTGGCAAAAGCAGAGTATTTACTCAGATTTTTTTGAATTCTGCATGGGAGATTTGGGCTGTAATCCAATAACACTTTATTAATGTTACTGTTTCATTTGTTCCAGCTTTGGCCTTTAGGAACACTTTGAGTTGGTTCTGTGCCCTGGGACATGTCCCATAATTGTGGGGGTGTTTTGTTTGTTTGTCTTCATCATTAACTCACTTTCTGGCTCTACAAGATGTTCAAGGCTCATCTGGTATATTTCATGTATTAGTCCTAGAATCTGCCATTTCTCCAAGAAGTTTTGGTTCCTTTTATTGGAGAATGTACTAGAAACCACAGTCCAGGTGCTATGTGTATGTGTGCTCTGATAGGAGGGTGTCAACCCTCTCAGTTAGAGAAACAAGGGAATATAGGTAAGTACATGTACTAATCCTGGTACATACACATATCTATAAACTAGAGGCCTGGTGCACAAATTCGTGCTGGGGTAGGGTCAGGCTGGCCTGCCCCACTCCCTGGGTGAACTCCCGGTCGAGGGAACAACTTGCATATTTGCCTTTTATTATATGAGATATTTTTATATGTAACTATTATACCTATTGTATATGTTGTTATTCATGAGTTTATACTGTCTCTAATTATGATCCATTATCACATGGATCATTCTTTCTCTCCTTGCTATCTGTAGCCTCTCATTCCAAAAGTGAAAAACCTGACTCCCACATCTGCCACCTATATGCTTAATTGTACAGTTCTAGTAAGAACATACTAGTATAGTTATTTCACAATTGCAAAGCACTCCTCCACAGGAAACAGTTACCAACTAGAGTACAGAGCTAATGTACAGCTCCTTTTGCCTTCCGTCTTACATACCCTATTTCCAAAGTAACTTAGGTCCACACCTTTTGCTCCCCCCTTTCAGAAAAGTTGTTTTATACATTTGTAATGCAGTTGGAGTCCCTTTTCACAGTCTGCATTATTTTTAGGATCCCTTGATCTCCTAAATGATTTTTTGAACAGTTTACATATATTAAGATTTACTCTTTGAGCTATAAAATTCTACTGGTTTTGACAAATGCATTGTATCATCCTTCTACCCTTCATAATAATTTCACTGCTCTAAAATGTCCCTTCTGCTTCACTTATTTAACCCTTCCCATTCCAAACTTCTGGCAACCACTGATCTCTATAGTTTATCATCTCTATTGTTTTGCCTTTTCCAGAGTGGCATAAGTGGCTGACATAAATGGATATATATAGCAATGAGCATACCAAGCTCAGTACCACCTTTTACACATATCCACTGTCCATATATTATATAGCTATTACTACACTCTTTATTCTGTTCCATTAAAATCTTTGTCTACCCTTGCACTATATATATTGTTATACATAATGTGTCTTTAAAAATATATTTTATTGATTTTGTAAAGAGAGGAAGGGAGAGAGATAGTTAGAAACATCGATGAGAGAGAGTCATCGATCAAGCTGCCTCTTGCACCCCTCCCCCCCACTGGGGATGTGCCCGCAACCAAGGTACATGCCCTTGACCGGAATTGAACCCGGGACCTTTCGGTCCCCAAGCCAACGCTCTATCCACTGAGCCACACTGATCTCGGCCATAATGTGTCTTTATAAGTCTTGGTATTTGGTAGGGCAAGTTATCCTACTTTATCTTTCTTCATGAGTATTTTAGATATTTTTGACCCCTTGTATTTTCATGAAAGTTTTCATATCATCTTGTCAAGTTCTACCAAAGCATTTTTTTTCAATATTGATTGAGAGTACATTGAATCCATAGATATATTTGATATATTTATAATAAGGAGTTTTCCAATTAATGGATAAGTGCATATCTCCTTTTATTTAGATTCTCTCTAATACTTGATATATTTATAATAAGGAGTTTTCCAATTAATGGATAATTGCATATCTCCTTTTATTTAGATTCTCTCTAATACTTCTTAGTGACATTTTAGTTTTCTCCACTGAAGTTTTATATATATTTTGTTACATTTATTCATAGGTAATTGTAAGTTTTTGGTCTGAAAAATTTTAAACCAAAAGTAGAATGAAGAATTTACTAAACTTATACATATCTGTCACCTAGCTTCTTTTGTATTTTCTTCCAACATAGTTGTATTATCTATCAATAATGATATCTTTGTTCCTCTATTTCCAGTGCCAGATACCTTATTATGCTTGCTAGGATAGCCAGTGCATGTTGAACAGAAATAGGGATAGCAGACATCTGCTTAACTCATTTCAAGGGAAAAACCTCAGCTTTTTACCTTATATTATCATGTTGCTGTGTCCTTTTTAAAATCTGTCTATCAGATCAAGTTGACAGCCAAATTTAAATTGCCAAGGCTTTAAAAAGAAAAAATGACGAATGAGCTGTGGCTGGTTTGGCTCAGTGGATAGAGTTTTGGCCTGCAGACTGAAGGGTCGCAGATTCAATTCTGGAAAAGGGCACATGCCTGGGTTGCAGACTCCATCCCCAGGAGGGGGCCTGAAGGAGGCAGCCAATCAGTGATTCTCTCTCATCATTGATGTTTCTATTTCCCTCTCCCTTCCTTTCTGAAATCAACAAAAATATATATTTTTAAAGTGATAAATTAATGTTAAATTTCGTTACCTACACATTCTCCATATTTTGAGATCATGTTTCTCCTCAATTCTGTTAATGTGACAGATATATTGATTGGTTGTTAAATTATAAACCAATTGTGCATTCCTGGTATAAAACCAACTATATAGAAAAAACCAAGATCGCAGCCTACGTGAGTGCCTAAACTACCCCCTTGCACAACAATTTCAAAACAACAACTAAAAGATAGAACAGACATCATCCAAAACCACAGGAAAGCTGCTGAGTGGGAAATCTACAACTAGAAAGGAGAGAGGCTCATGGATCAGGGGAGCCGGAAAGCTCTGAGGTAGGGAGATGTGCGCACAGAGAGGAAAGGCGGACTAGTGCCTGGCTGGCAGAAGGGGAAAAGGAGCCCCCAACTGCACTAAACCCCAACCACAGCCGAAAGTCGTGGACCCAGGCTCATACAGGTGGAGTCTGGACTGTAGAGAAAGGTACTTGGATATTCAGAGACTGGGAGACTTGGGGTAGCCGTGAGTCGCAGCGGGCAGGATCTAGAGTCGTGCACCAGTTAGTGTACGCAGAGAGGTCTGACTGCGGATTGCCACTGTTGCTCCATAGCGGAAGGATTCGGAAGCTCCTGACTGCACTGAGCACTGATACCCAGTTCAGAGCGAACCCCTGGAGCACTCACACTCTTACAAGGGGAATCTGGATTGGGAGGCTGAAACTCGGGATCCATGGAAGGCAGAGGTCTGAGGCACATCCACAAGGGCAGGGCTGATGGGAAACCAAGACTGTTGGCTCAGCCCTGAGACTCCGCCCCATCCAAGCTGAGCACAGAGGCTTTTGAAATTTTGCAAGTCTGATCCTATAAGACTGTCTCCAATATAGAAGGTATCCCAGTGTATACACAGCTGATACTCACATCCTGGAGGTCAATTCCTCCCAGTGATACCAACAACAAGCAAGACTTAACTATAGCTGAAACCGGTTTGGCTCAGTGGATAGAATGTTGGTCTGCTGTCTGAAAGGTCCCAGGTTTGATTCCGGTCAAGGGCATATACCTTGGTTGCGGGCACATCCCCAGATTCTCTCTCATTGATGTTTCTAACTCTCTATCCCTCTCTCTTCCTCTCTGTAAAAAAATCAATAAAATATATTTTTTTAAAAGAGACTTAACTACAACAGGGCTGTACATGCAGTACACAAAGGGGAGCATCAAGAGTGTCTATCTCAGGTAACTGGGGAGACTGACCCACCAGCTCATATAAGACACCAAACACACAAAACCACCCTACCAACTCAGGGAAGCCGTAAATATGGGGAGACAAGGAAACAGATCTCAAACAAAACAAACAAACAAACAAAAATGAAGGAGAACAAACGACTTGATATAGAGTTCAAAACCACGGTTATAAGGTTTTTCAAGAATTTCCTAGAAAAGGCCGATAAATTTAATGAGACCCTTGAGGATATGAAAAAGGACCAACTAGAAATTAACATACACTGACCGAAGTAAAAAATATTATACAGAGATCCAACAGCAGACTGAAGGAACACAAGAATCAAGTCAAAGATTTGGAATACAAAGAGGCAAAGGACACTCCTCTGGAGAAGCAAGAAGAGAAGAGAATCCAGAAAGTTGAAGATAGTGTAAGAAGCCTCTGGGACAACTTCAAGTGTACCAACATCAGAATTATGGGAATCCCAGAAGAAGAGAGTAAGACACCGAAAACATATTGGAAGAAATAGTGACAGAAAACTTCCCCCAGCTGGTGAAAGAAATAGACTTACAAGTCCTAGAAGCGCACAGAACTCCAAACAAAAGAAATTCAAAGAGAACCACACCAAGACACATCATAATTAAAATGCAAGGGCAAAAGACAAAGAGAGAATCTTACAAGCAGCAAGAGAAAAACAGTTAGTTACCTATAAGGGAGCACCCATATGATTGTCAGCTGATTTCTCAACAGAAACTATGCAGGCCAGATGGGAGTAGTAAAAAATATTCAAAGTGATGAATAGCAAGAACCTACAACCAAGATTACTCTACCCAGCAAAGTTATCATTCAGAATTGAAGGTCAGATAAAGAGCTTCACAGACACAAAAAAAAAGTTAAAGGAGTTTATCAACACCAAACCAGGATTACATGAAATGTTGAAGGATATTCTTTAAGAGGAAGAAGAAGAAAAAGGTAAAGGTAAAAAATTATGAACAACAAAAAGACATCAAATACATACCTACCAACACGTGAATCTAAAAATCAAGTGAATAAAAAATCTGAAGAATAAAATGGACTGGTGAATACAATAGAATCAGACACATAGAAAGCGATTGGACTAACAATTCTCAGGGGTAAGGGGGTCTGAGGGGTTCGGGAAGATATTGGACAAAAATCTTACACCTATAGATGAAGACAAGGTGGGGGTAAGGGCATGGGGTGGGGTTGGGAATCGGGTGGAGGGGAGCTATTGGGGGTTGGGGGAAGAGGAACACCTGTAATAATCTGAACAATAAAGACTTATTATATTTTTTTGAAAATCGTACATATGTGGATGAGGACAATGGGGGGGTAAGGACATAGGGTGGGGTGGGAACTGGGTGGAAGGGAGCTATGCAGGGGAAAAGGAGAAACAATTGTAATCTGAGCAATAAAGATTAAATTAAAAAAACCCACAACTATACAATAAGATAGCCCAAACTTAAAAGAGTTAGCCATGGTAAACTTGGAGGAAGGGGAGAAATCTATTCTTACATAAACTCTCGCAGGGAATAGAAATGTTCCCCAATTCATTTTACATGAATACCAAAACTTGTAAGGATGGTATAAATTTTTTGATCAATTCATTCAAATTATTGTTATTATTATTTAAAATATATATATATATATATATACACACACACAATATATATATATATATATATATATATATATATATATATATATATTTTTTTTTTTTTTTACAGAGAGGAAGGGAGAGAAATAGAAAGTTAGAAACAACGATGAGAGAGAAACATTGACCAGCTGCCTCCTGCACATCCCCCACCGGGGATGTGCCTGCAACCAAGGTACATGCCCTTGATCGGAATCGAACCCAGGATCCTTCAGTCTGCAGGCCGATGCTCTATCCACTGAGCCAAACTGGTTTTGGCTCAAATTATTACTGAAACAATATATTAATAAACTGAATTTAGCAATATGTACATCTTAAATAGATAACTATATTAAACAACCTTCCCCCCCCCCCCCCCTAGTTTTTTCCTATTTTGGTCCATTGTTTGCTTCAAATGACTTCTTTTAATATGTAATTACATTATTTCATTTCTTTGGGTCTATATCTCCCTAGAATTTTTTTCAGAATGATATTTTAATGAAGGAAATTGTTTCAATATTGTATTGTTTATATGTAGGCACTTTGGTTAAATTCTCTATTTTTTTTTTCTTTTGGAAATTAAGAAGAAACATGGCGGCTATCCTTCTCTCACATTGAAAAGGACATTTTGAAAAATCACGGAGACTCTAAAAAATGCTGTGAAAGTAAGGGAGTGAAATGTTGCAGGTAACTTTCTTATTTTGTTAATTAGTGGCTTTTCTTTGGAATCTTTTTAATTGACTCCATAGATCAGACCTATAGGTGGTCATTACTGAGTTGAGTCCTGGGGGCAGCACATGGCTGGACTGACCTGGAATATTATCTAGAGAGGGTGAGCATGAAACCAGGGAAGCCAGATCCAGGGGACCAAGGAATGAGTGCTGTCAGAAGGCAAGGCCAGGGACTATAGTCCTGAACCTGGATCAGATCGATGTGTAAAGTAGGACAGAACAAGAAGTAGGGCAGAAAGGACACTAGCCATGATTAGTCATTAGACACTGGTTGTGTCTTAGTATTCTGGTTGCTTCAAGGTAATGAATATTAATGTCACATAATGGGAAGGTGACAGAGGATCAATCTTTTTTATACCAGTTCTGCTTTGAGATGGGTTGGCTGCATTGAAGGCCATTTGAAACAACTAAAAGATGGGTAATTCTTTTTCTTGGCAGCATACACACCATAAAAAAGTGAGACCCTAGCTAGTTTGGCTCAGTGTATAGAACATCAACCTGCGGACTGAAGGGTCCCAGGTTTGATTCCAGTTGAGGGCATATGCCCAGGCTGCAGGCTTGATCCCCAGTAAGGGGGTGTGCAGGATGCAGTCGATCAGTGATTCTATCTCATCATTGATGTTTCTCTCTCTCCCTCTTCCTTTCTTTTTGAATTAAATAATACACACACACACACACACACACACACACACACACACATATATATTGAGATTGGAAAAGTATTGTTCATTTGAGTTTATAAAGTTGTCCAATATAAGGGTCACAAAAGTTAAAAGGTCAAAACAAGAATGTCCAACTTGCAGGCCCAGGAGGTTCTTTTTTTTTTTTTTTAAATATATTTTATTGATTTTTTACAGAGAAGAAGGGAGAGGGATAGAGAACTAGAAACATTGATGAGAGAGAAAAATCGCCCAACTGCCTCCTGCACATCCACTACCGGGAATGTGCCCGCAACCAGTGTACGTGCCCTTGACCGGAATCAAACCTGGGATCTTCACAGTCCGCAGACTGTTGCTCTATCCACTGAGCCAAACTGGTTTCGGCACCGGGAGGTTCTTTAAAGCTTCATGTACAGGTTTTGAAACCAGTGCTGAGAAAATTATATTGCTGGTAAAGCCAAGTATTTTTAAAAACATAAAATTTTGTCAACTATGAAATGATTGGATGAATAATGTAAATATTTATAATCTATCAAATAATTTGATGAATAATACAAGTATCTGCTAGTTTTATAGTTGAATTAATCCTGATAAAATATTTAAACTAGGAATGGCGAAGCAGGAAGAAAAAAATGTTTTTGAAACTTCAAAGAATGTATTGAAAAAATAGAGTGACTAGAATTATATTTATATATATCTTTGTCTTTCTATGTATTATAATATCTGTATTGTTTATTGTATCTTCCTGTAAGATGCCTAAAGCTCTTTGTGGAATGAAGCAGGTTGTAAATAAGTAAAGATAAATGGTTTTCTTTTTTATTCAACAGGAAACGCTGTTTACAACTAATGAAATATCTTTTAGAAAAGTTGAAAGAAAAGTTTGAAGACCGAAAGGAACTTGGTGAATTCTGTTCTTATCACGTGAAAACTGCCTTCTTTCACGTATGTGCCCAGAACCCACATGACATTCAGTGGCGAGACAACCTGGAGCTCTGCTTTAATAGATGTCTGGAATACTTTCTTCAGTGCCTCAAGACACAATGTCTTGAGAATTTTTTTATTCCTGCAGTCAATCTATTCTCTCAAGATAAAATTAACAGGATAAGTAAAGAATTTCTGTTAAAGGAAATTGAATATGAAAGAAACAATAGATTTCCAATTTTTGGTGAATTTTGAAAAAAAAATATAAATTATATATATTTAACTTATTGTTGTTGAGAGTATTACAGACGTCCCCCATTTTCCTCCCTTTTGTCCCCCTCCACCCAGCTACCATCCCGCCCCAGGCCTTCACCACACTGTTGTCTGTGTTCATGGGCTATGCTTATGTGCATATAGGACTAGTGGCCTGGTTAGTGGATTTATGCATATTGAAAGGAAATTAATTGGAAGAAAGATTTGTGTGGTAATTAAGTTACCACAAGAAATTACGTATCAAAATAGTATATATAATATCCTATCTAATAAAGAAGGAATATGCTAATTGACCCTCATGCCATCACAAAGATGGCAGCACCCACAGCCAATAAGGAGGGAATATGCTAATTGACAGTCCCACCCTCAAAGATGGCGGCGCCCACAGCCACAAGATGGTGGCACCCAGTCCCCTCAGCCCCCCAGTCCCCCAGGGCCAGCCTGAGGCACAGGCAAGCCTCAGATGGCAGCTGCCCAGCCACTCAGGGCTGCCTGAGGCTCAGGTAACCAGGGCCAGCTGAGGCTTGCGATGCTGAAAGTGGCAGCAGCTGAGGTGTGATGGGGTGTCATCATTCCCTGATCACCAGGTCACCTCTCACCCCTGAGGACTCTTGGACTATGATAGGGGGCAGGCCAGGCTGAGGGACCCCCCCTCTAGTGCATGAATTTTCATGAACCAGGCTTCTAGTCCTATATAATAAAGAGGTAATATGCAAATTACCATCACTGCAACACACAAGATGGCTGTCCCATGTGGTCAAACATGGCTGCCCCCAGGTGGACATAAGATAGCTGCCACAAGATGGCCATCAGGGGAGGAAAGTTGGGGGGGACCCAGACCTACAAGGGAGGGAAGTTGGAGGGGATCCAGGCCTGCAGGGGAGGACAGTTGGGGGGGACCCAGGCCTACAGGGGAGGGCAGTTGGGGGTGACCAGGTTGACAAGGAAGGGCAGTTAGAGGTGACCAGGCTGGCAGGGGAGGGAAGTTGGGGTGACCAGGCCTGCAGGGGAGGACAGTTAGGGCCACCAGGCTGGCAGGGGAGCAGTTAGGTGTTGATTAGGCTGGCAGGGGAGTGGTTAGGGGGTGATCAGGCTGGCAGGTAGAAGCGGTTAGGGGCAATCAGGCAGGCAGGCAGGCAAGTGGTTGGGATCCAGCAGTCCTGGATTGTGAGAGGGATGTCCCAGATTGGAGCAGATCGAGAGCATGCAGCCTGGGCTGAGGGACACCCCCTCCCCCTGAGTTTTGGGCACCAGGCCTTTAGAAGTATTATAAAATTAAAACACGTGTGCAATTGGCACCAGTGAGAGGTATATATGTATTATGCACATGCAAGTCAACATTTATTTTTAAATCGCCAGTGTGCATCATATGTACTGGCCAGTTGGACAAATGGACATTTGGTCACTTAGCCTTTTATATATATAGATAAGTTCTTTGATTAATCTCTTCCCAACACCCTCCACCTCCCACCTTCTTTGAGATATGGCAGTCTATTCCACGCTTCCATGTCTCTGGCCCTATTTGTTCATCAGTTTATCTTGTTCATTAGATTCCACATATAAGTGAGATAATTTATTTTTAAAAAGAGAAGAATTAGAGTGACTATAATAATTGAAATGTTTGGCCCTGGCTGATTTGGCTCAGTGGATAGAGCATTGGCCTGTGGACTGAAGGGTCCCAGGTTCAATTCTGGCCAAGGGCACCTGCCCAGGTTGTGAGCTCAATCCCCAATAGAGAGTGTGCAGGAGGCAGCCAATCAATAATTCTCTCTCATCATTGATGTTTCTATCTCTCTCTCCCTCTCCCTTCCTCTCTGAGATCAATAAAAGTATATATTTTTAAAATGTTTCAGATTTGTCACTGTAATGATTGACAAAAGTGAATAAATTATTATTCTGCTCTGTTTGTCTTAAACTAATTAATATTAAAGGATTGATTCCTTTGAAAAAGAAATTAGTCAACTAATAAAAAACAAAAGGAGTATGTAAAATCTGAAAGCTTTACCAGATTGGAATGATAAAGACAAAATACACAGTTACCCATCACCTTCATTCATTAAGCACTTACTGAACACCACTTTTCCCCAAGCACAAATGTGTGGACGGTTGCAAGAGACAATATTAGAAATGACCATTGCCTCCAAAAAACTGGTGGGCTTTGTTCAATATACAAATATATTTGGAAGCAGTGTCCTATCCCAAATATTAGGATAGATAAGAAGGAAATGAGCTAAAACCGGTTTGGCTCAATGGATAGAGCGTCAGCTTGGGGACTGAAGGGCCCCGGGTTCGATTCCGATCAAGGGCAGGTACCTTGGTTGTGGGCATCTCCCCAGTAGCGGGTGTGCAAGAGGCAGCTGATCGATGACTCTCTCTCACTGATGTTTCTAACTATCTATCTCTCTCCCTTCCTCTCTGTAACAAATCAATAAAATATATTTTAAAAAAATTTTTTCTTCCTCTCCTCTTTAAAAATCAATTAAAATATTTTAATAGTTTGCTGTTCCTGGCTGGTGTGGCTCAGTGGTTGAGTGTTGACCTGTGGACCAGGAGGTTATGGTTCTATTCCCAGTCAGGGCAGATGCCCAGGTTGCAGGCTTGATTCTAATATGGGATGTGCAGGCGGCACCCAATTGATGCCTCTCTGATTGATGTTTCTCTTTCTCTATCTTCTCCTTCCTCTTTCTCTAAAATCAATAAACACATTAAAAAATAGTTCGCTGTAGAACAGTACACTGTGTTTCATTTGCACTAACCTCATGTTTAGTGTCTTAATCTCTGTAAACTGACTTAACCTCATTTTATGAATTTAGTGTAGCCTAAGTGGATAATGTTTATGAAGTGTACAGTAGTGCCAGCCTTTATATTCACTCACCACTCACTGACTCACCCAGAGCAACTTTCAGGCCTGCAAGTTCCATTTAGGGTAAGTGCTATGTAGAGGTGTGCCATTTTTATCTTTTATACTATATTTTTATGTTTATATAACAAATTAGAGGCCCAGTGCATAAAATTTGTGTGGGAAGGGGGGGGGGGGGCGGTCTGTCAGCCAGCCTGAACCCTCTCCAATCTGGGACGTCCCTCTCACAATCCAGGACTGCTGGATCCCAACTGCTCGCCTGCCTGCCTTTCTGATTACCCCTAACTGCTTCTGCCTGCCAGTCTGATCACCCCCTAATCACTCCACTGCCAGCCTGATTGATGCCTAACTATTCCCCTGCCAGCCTGGCTGCCCCTAACTGCCCTCCCCTGAAGGCCGGTCACCCCCAACTGCCCCAACTGCCCTCGTACATCTATGGATGAGGACAGTGGGGAGGGTAAGGGCAGAGGAGCGGAGCTATGGGGGGAAAAAGGAGGAACAACTGTAATAATCTGAACAATAAAGATTTATTTAAAAAATAATAAAATAATAAAATAAATAACTCTTAAATACTGCTGATTGCAGTAAACATACTAACAAAGCGTAGTTAAGGAAAACAGGAATTTGAAAGACCATGTGTCATTCAAATTATACCTCCTATAAGAAGGCTGAAACTACTTTTCAACATAGACATTAATAATGAAACTTCTTGGGTTTTCCTTGGGGTCTTCCCAATTTTTTTTCCACTTCTTTTTTCAGTTTATTTGCCTTATACCTCTCAGCCATTGATACAAGCTCCTCTGGGATACTCTGAAACCATTAAATATGATTTTATTTTATAATTGAGAATATTCTTTTAGTATAACAGCTTTTCCATAATATACTGAAATGCCTCCAAACCATTTCAATCAGAGCATGTCCAGAACTGTTTACATGACATCTTTCAAATGTGTCTCTGCATATTAAACTCTGAATTTATCTTCAAGCTATAAAATCAGGATGATCTTAAAAACACCCATCATTGTAACTCTCCCATTTGTATAGTCCCCCAGTTGCTTCCCAAGTCCTTTAACTTGCCTTACCTGGTACCACTTTCTTTTTGTTCTTTCTCATCTCTAGGCCTGAATATGCTCCCCTGCTGGAATGCTTACTCCATTCTTCTACAACTCTCCTAACCCACTGGTTTCTTCCTCAGCAGGGCTTTCATCTCCATTTTATTAGTGGCCATAATTATATAATTTCATTGCTCCTCATCTTTGCTAGGCTACAGTTCTCAAAACGTTTTTATTTTTTTTTGAGAGAAAAAGGGAGAGATGGGGGAGATGGAGGGAGATGAGAGGGAGGGGTTGGGAGGGGGAGAGGGAGGGAGGGAGGGAGGGAGGGAAAGATTGATTCGTTGTTCCACTTATTTGTGCATTCGTCGGTTGCTTCTTGTATGTGCCCTGACTTGGGATTGAACCCACAACCTTGACGTATTGGAACAAAGCTCTAACCATATGAACTACCTGGCCAGGGCTCATAATATGTTTAATTACTTGTTTAATATCTGTCTTTTCTGGTAAGCAGTAAGTCCAAGTTAAGAGAACAAATGAAATTATTTGAACATATGTGATATGAGGTAGTGTTCTAATCAGTTTTATATTCTTACCTGATTTGCTCTTTCCAGAATGTTAATTAATTCATTGGCAACCCTCCAATCATTTCTAGTGATAAGGGTAATTGACACTCCAGTCCTCCTTTAAGTGGGAGAAAAACTCATGTAATTTTGATTTATAACTTATCTTCATTATTCGTTTAGTAAAATAAAGCAGCTGCAATAAAACCTCAACTCTTTTCACAAGCCCAAATATGAATTATACATCAGATTTTAGCATCATTTAAACAGCAATATGGAATCTAGACACTCTGCAGTTTGTAACGTGTTTAAACAGCACGTTACAAAGGGTCTGTGATAGTGGTGCTTTGGGGAGAAAAGGTCCTCTTACTTACGCCAACTTGGACAAGAGTAACCACTGGACATATGACACTATAGATAAAAAGCTAAGGGTGGAATTATAAAGTTACATGCAGCTAACCACAGAAGGGTCTATTGAGCCAGAACAGTTTAACAGAAATAAAGTAGCAAAGCAGGTTTTAGGGTGACTC